TTTGATAATCTGAACTGGGAGTTTATAAAGCAACAAATTAACAAAATGGGATTCGGACAAAATTTTGTGAACACAATAACCACGATTTATGAGAAACAAAGGGCCAATATCCTAGTGAATGGAGAACTAACAAAAACCTTCCAAATCAGCAAGGGAGTGAGACAGGGATGTCCATTATCACCACTCCTGTTTATTTTGGCTCTAGAAGTACTGCTAAAAAGGATTAGAGGAAATAAGCAAATTAAGGGTCTGAAAATTAGAAAGGAAACATATAAAACCCAAGCATTCGCGGACGATGTGGCACTAATTATGGAGGAACCTGTGGAAACAGGCGCCCAAATTTTGGAAGAACTTGGTAAGTATGGAGAGGTGGCAGGGTTCAAATTAAATAAATCTAAAACTAAAATGTTGACCAAAAACATGACCAAAGACCGGAAGAAAGTTTTGGAGGAATCAATGGGGACACAAGTTGTTAAGAAGGTTAAATATTTGGGAGTATGGATTTCAACAAAGTGTTCGGCCCTTAAAGAGGATAATTATGTACCCCTAGTCAAAAATATTAAACAAGATTTAGAGAAGTGGGAGAAGCTCCAGATATCCTTTTTAGGGAGGATTGCAGCAATTAAAATGAGTGTCCTACCCAAATTGCTGTATCTATTTCAAACCGCTCCAATCAAATTAGATAGGAAATTTTTCCGGGAATTTAATTCTATTATCAGGAAATTCATTTGGGGAGGGAAGAAACCAAGGATTGCAATTAGGAGCCTACAGGACAAAAAAGACAGGGGTGGTCTCGGACTTCCAATTTGGGAAATCTATCACAAAGCGGCAATCTTAGTTTGGTTAAAAGAATGGGCAACTCTGGGAAACAAAAGAATTTTGACACTGGAAGGGTACGACCTCCAGAAGGGTTGGCATGCTTATCTCTGGGAAACAGGAAAAAGAACAAGAACATATTTCCATAAACATAAAATAAGGGACACGTTAATGTCAACATGGGGAGAAATAAGACAAAAACAATATACTAAAGTCCTCAGATGGCTATCTACGATGGAGGCGATAATATACCCCAATGTCCTGGAATTGGGCAAAACAGTAAAAATATAAAGAGATATTAGATGAGGCAGGGAATCTCAAAATAATGGAACAATTGAGAGAACAGGGCACCCACATAGAATGGTGGACATATGCACAAATTAAATCACGATATAAAAAAGATAAAGAGCAACATGGCATAGAGATAGGCAGCAATGGGTTCGACAAGATATGGATGGGCACAAATAATAATTTATTGGCCAAATTATATAATTATTTGGTGGAGTACGACTTGATAGAGGTGGTGGTTAAGGACCCAATGCTAGCATGGGCCAAAAATATTGGACAAACCATAAATCTGGATGAGTGGGACCAAATTTGGAACAACAATCTCAAAATGACCAGGGCAACAACTTATAAGGAAAACCAATATAAGATGATTTATAGGTGGCACTTAGCACCAGCCAGGATTGCCAAAATTTACCCAAATATGAGTCCAAACTGCTGGAAGTGTGTGGTCACCAGCAAGGTACTTTTTATCACTGTTGGTGGACCTGCCCACAAGCCAAAGAATTTTGGAGGATGATATGTAAATGGCTGTCGGAAATAATAGGAGACACTATTGAATTAGAACCAAAAATATTTCTCCTGGGAATCTTGAAGACAGAAATTGCAAGAAAGAAGAAGTATCTTATTGTACAAATAATAACAGCAGCAAGAATCTCCTTCGCTCAACATTGGAAAGAGAAAAAGTTACCACCCAAAGAGCATGTAATTAGGAAAATAATGGAATGTGCCGAAATGAACAAACTGATGTTTGTTCAGTTTGGGATATGTGGTATGAGTGGTTAGAGAAAAGAAAATCGAAGTGAAGCTCGAGAGAGCTAAAGGTCAATCTGATGATTAATTAAATGGGTATATAGAAATGAGTTGTACTACAGGCAGTAGGAAATGAAATGGAGTAAGGATATAAGTTTATGTAAATAAAATGTAATAATACGTATTAAGGATGATATAAGTAAGAAATCCTACGGGTAGTACTTTTTAAATTAAGATAATCAGGCAATACCATGTAAATAATAAGTAAATATTATGTATATGTATATGTATGTGTTTATCAACACCATGAAACCGGAAAGGTGGAATTGTATTATAATTTTCTAACAATAAAAACTTAAAAAAAAAAAAAAGAAATTCCAGGGAGAGACCGGATGTTATGGTCTCCCTCACCCCTGCTTCGGTGGTCATTCTCTCCCACTGGTCTGTGAAGAGGCCCAGTCGGCCACCAATGGGAACCCTGTCCCTGTCGTCAATGGGATCTGCAAAAGGAATGGTTGTTTCCCCCACGAAAGGGTCGCTTAGACTGGGATCATGACCTGTTTCTGTCAGTAAACCCAGACCCAGATTGGTAGAACTGTCCTGATTGGCCACCTAGGAAAATACCCTTTGGTACCTGTTGAATCCTGATCCCCCGTAGGGATGAAAATAAGGTCTTCGAAAGGGCATTGAGGACCAGGTGTCTCCCTGCCGTGACAGGGCAGGTAGCACCTTCCTCTTGTCTCTAGGTTCAGCCAACAAGGGATCTAAAGCCGCACCAAACAACTTAGATCCCTTAAAGGGAACAGAAGCTGGGCGCCATCTCCGCTTGATGTCTGCCTGCCAATTCCTGAGCCAGAGAAGCCGTCTGGCTGTGACCATGGATGTGATGGCCCATGCTCCGAACTTAGCGGAGGTCAGGCTAGCATCTGCTGTAAATTCTGCAGCCGCTACTACTTTATTGAAATCCTGATGTGCCCTAAGATCACTCACCAGCACCCTCTCCTGCATTTGTTTGAGCCACAACAGACACACCCTGGTAAAAAGGGATGCCGCCATGGCAGCCTTGATTCCCCAGGCAGCCGCCTAGTGTGCCTTCCTGAGAGCTTGCTCTAATCTACGTTCAACGTCGCAGAAGGTGATGCCAACGCCAACACCGGTTCATCCACCTCCGGAACTCGAAGGAGTTCCGCAAGATCTAGCGTACTATTATAAAATTTCCTCTCATAGGAAATCATATTAGGGTATGCCCCCAGGGAGTCCCCCATGCCTAAAAAGAATTGGGGAGCCGGGATTGTCTCAGTCTCGGTGGCAGGCTCAGAAAAGAGCAGCTCAGCCAGATCCTGCTCTGCTCTTGAACCTGCCTGTTCTGAGGAGGCACCTTGCTTAGTGGAGGTCTTTGCCTTAAATAGCAAGGCTTTAAAGAGATGTGGTCTGAACAACCCCTTGAAGGTGGGTTGGTCTAGCCGCAGGCCTTCTTCATCTGATAATTCCTGTTCCCATTGGTCTTCCCCCATGGAGAGGGAGTCATCAGTGTCTGAAGGAGATGCTGAGGAGTCAGAGCTCTGCTCTGACCCTTGCTCTGCCGGTTCTGGGACTCTGTGGTCCCTGTCCAGTACAGCCACTTCAGCCCTCTGTATCGATTGTTTATTGAGATGCTTGCCGGCTTCGAAGCCGTTCTGCACCACCTCAGCAATCCACTGTTGGACCATCGCTGGCTTTTCTGCCTCCTGGCTACCAACGTGCCAATCCGCTTGCGCAGCTAGCGAAGTGGTAGGAGTTGACAAAGGCCTTGTTCCCATACTGGGTTCTCCACCCAGAGGGGGTGGTGACAAAGATCTAGATGGCTGGAAACTGGTTGAAGGCCCCGGTTCAGCCTGGGCGATATCACCAGTTTGAGAAGGCTCTTGAGGGCTAAAATATTTGCGCTTTTCAGGTGCTTTAAGGTTCTTTTCCACCTGCCTCTCTAAAATGTTTTGCAGGCGTTTCTCCGCCTTCCCTTGAGCCTTAGACGGACGTTTCAGAGCTAGGGCCTTGGCCTTGAGCTTTGCTGCCACCCCTTGTACTATGGTAACGGCATTTTGAGCTGCACCCCGAAACTCTCTGGTAGTGGGAAACCTCACCCAACTCGATCGGGTCACTAAGGGAAGGCTCTGATGCCATAGACAATATGGCTGACTGCAAGGATGCAGATCAATGCAGTCTATAAGGCCCAGGAGTAATCAACATCTACCACCCGTTCCGAGCACAGACCGGGATCAGTCTCCTTGGCCACCTGCTCTGCAGGCCAAAACCAGCTGTGTTGAGCAATAATGTAGTTTTTCAAGCCTCAGCTGCCCGAAATGGCCGCACTAGGCTAATCACCCGTCAGTTATGACTCTAATAACAGGGCCATGTTGTTAATAAGGTGATCTTTCCAATCCTCTTCGCCTCAGAGGTCTGAAGCAGGCTCGGGCCCAGGGCCATTCACGCTGCTGTCTGAGGACCTCACTGTACTGGAGGACCGAAAACCGAGCCCTATGACAGCTCTCACCCCGCAGCAATCAAATGGCTGACAAAATGGCCACCATGCTTGGCAGCCTCCCCAACGGCTCTGAAATTTGGCGCTAAAATAATCTGAGTGCCTCCGCCTTGCCCGCGCTGTCCAATTCCACCCTCTCCCTCTACTTACAGTCCATCTGGGGGAGAGGTGGTTTTTGTCCTGAAAGCTGGGCAGCAGACAAACGTCTGTAACTGGCTGGTGCGCCTTCAATGGCGGCAGCCCTCTAAGAGCCGTGCCATAGCTGTCAAAGCGCCTCCAAAGTCCCTGCAAGCCAACAGGACTCCAAACAGCTGCAGCCACAAGGTAAAACGCTGCCCAACTGATAATGAGCCTGATCTACAATTTAAACTCCGAACGGCCACAATGCTTGTCAAATTACAAGAATCCAAATCCTCACTTTGAAAAGCAACCCCAAAACTGTCCGAACGAGCTCAGGACTGAGTTGAAACTGGGAGTGTCTGCAGAGGGGGCCTCTCTTCAGTTTGAACCCAGTCCATAGATCCAGAAGACAGAGTGGATCCCCATGCCTGGAGTCTCGAGTTCCCCAGCAGGAAAATAGAATGGACTAAAGAAAGGATGCAAAAGGAGGGACAGAATGAAATGCGAATTGCATAAACTAAAATTTTTATTTATTTTAAATAATTAAACAGTATTGTTACATTGTCCTGCAACGAGTTGTCCCACGGTGAGTTGTCCACGGCGAGTTGGTTGTGGCAAGATATCCCATTTCCCAATCCCTGAATCCTTTTAACTTAAGAAATCAAAGCTAGCATTTACTAATGTTCTGGTTGAAGCTCTATGTATTACAGCACCAGGTCTATTCTTTAGGCATACCTTACCTAAATTCACTCTGAAGGAGGGTCTAAAATTACTAGTTGCATTTCTTCATTAACAGAAATTGAACTTTTACAACCTTTATAATGATTTAGCTTTCATTTTTTCCCCAAATGTTTCAGGACCAAATATTTTAGTTCAATGCTGAATATTCTGTTTACTAATGAGCAGAGGGGGATAGGATCCTACCACCTGCAGTTGGTAACTTTTTCTGGTATGCATCCATTCATTTTTCATGGATATTTACATGATACTATAAACACATCAGGTTATCTACCTTGAAGTGTAATTTAATGGCATACATACCAAAGTGCTCAAAACAGATGACTATACCATCCTAGTAGCAACATGTATATTTTCAATATTTTTATGATACTGAATAAAAAAATTATTTGCTACTATCAGAGTAGAAATATTATCATCAAAGTAAGAGTCTGTGGTTGGAACAGGTTTCCTATGGTGAGTTGTCTTCATATAATGTTACTGGACAAGGGATAAAGCCATGATGCAAGAATCGAGCAAATACAGTATGCATCATAGTTTTTGGTCTGGAGGTAAGGACTACTATTAGGAAAATCCAAACTATGTGCATAGTACATTAAGTAGCATAACATATAATTCTCTCCCTGTCTGCCATCTACATATTTCTAAGGGTGTGTTAAAGTGGCTATTTTTTGATCAATATTAAAATAGACCCAATAGAAGATCAATCTTTCCCCCCGCCCAAAAAAACCTGGCTTTTCTCAAACGATAAATAACTACTTCCTCTGAGGCATGAATGATTGAAAGAATGAGTGGCACAGCTGCAATGTACACTTTCAAATGAGTCTAGTGATAAAATGTTTAATTTATGGACATACTGTATCTCAGGACAGCTATTTGTGGCAACAGTTTGCAGCCATCTGTGCCTCTTCGGAAATGATTAGAAATCATAGTGAACTGTACTAGTTTAAAAAAAAACCAGAAATCAACAAATAAGATAACTTGACAGTTGTAAAGTTTTCTTCTAATTACAATATTTTCTTCTAATTACAATATTAAATTGATCGATGACACTTCAGTTAGAGAAGACAAGTACAGTGCAGATGTTTAAGAATAATTTGCAGGTTGTTGAGCAAGGGCTTCTAAAGAATGCCTGTATCATTTCCTGGTACTATTCAAATAGCTCATTTGCTAGACTTTTTTTAAAAAAGGGATTGTCTTACAGCCATTACACCCAGGTACGTATCGAAAGAAACCTGAACAATTGTAAAAAAAAAAAAAAATCTAACTATATTTACAACATACAGTATAAGAAAATATGTACCATTCATAGATTCTAGCTGCATAAAATCATTTAAAAGGCCACTTGTAACACCACTTACATTACATGTAAATTTAATTGCACACATGCATACCCATTTACTTTAACTTTGGAATTTAAGGAACAGAAGAAAGCTAGAATTAGATTCCTCTACATCACCACTTTAATACATTTTGCATTGTCCAATAATAGTTTATTTCTATATTATTCTCTCAAAATATATTTAAATCAAAGAATAGTACTAACTCTTTCAATAAATGTTGTTCTTCTGTACATCCCAATATGCAGTTATACACAAAGTAAAGACTTCATGACTGTACGTTATCTTTACAGAGCCTTTCATAATACATAAACGCTTTAAGCTATGTAACATTTAAGCCAAACTAAGTACCACAACTGAACATAAGAAATCTGGCTGTAACCCTGTCCTAGACTGTTTCACTGGAATTAATCCCTCTTTGCTAGAAAGAAATTATTATATCCCATTGGAAAATCAGGGTATGCTTAAGCAATCATAGGACCATCCTGAGACTATCAAGTAGTATTGAGTATATTCTGACACTTGTTTATTTCAACCCACCCTGTATGTTCTCAATATAACATTTGTGATCAGCATACCTTCTATTTTTAAAAACCATTTCTTTCTGGCAATTTCAGGATGTTATTGTCTTACAGACTGATCAAGTAACTCATAAAATCTTTTCTAACATTAAAATATTTCATACAAGCAAGAACCGAATTTCTTTTCTCCTGGGAGACGTGTTCCCATATACATTCAAACAAAATTTTAGAATCTAAAGCTACAGCAGCACTTGTTTCAAGTTAGGGTGCATGTGGTTGCAATAAAAGTATATAAAATAATAGAAATCTCACTCTCTCTTAAAACACAAAGGATCTTATTATACAAATAGCATTTGTGTTGACCCATTACATAGTGGTTCAGTTCACTGGGCTTTCCAGTCGACAAACTCCTCCTTCAATTGCTACCGACTGTCCTGCCACAGCGCCATGTGGAAGCCTTGAAATGTGAGTCTGTAAAGAAATATGTGAGAATTTGAGAGCTTCAGAAGTAAAGGTGGAGCAAAAAACAAACAAACACTGATTAACAAAAATCAAAGAATAAGCCTACATTCTTAAATATGTTACAAATAATTTCCACTATTCCACTCAAAGTGTCTGAGATGAGGCTGCCTTACAATTCTAGATGCACCTGAAGGGCAATTGATTATTTGGAGGAATAGGAGACTGGGTCAATTTATGAGTAACTTCTACTGATAAATGAACTGGCAAGACCATCTCTGCCTGTTGTAGTAAACACAAACCAGCTTCTGATATCATGGTGATGGAATGCCTAAAAGGAGATACATAGGAGAAACCCTGATACTGTAGTTAAGGGAGAACATAGTCATTGTGGAACTGCCTCTGGAGTCCAGGGGATGGGGGAAGCATGAGATAAAGAGTCAAGCATAACCCCACCTTAATTACACTAGATATAAGTTGTGCAGAATTGTTCTGCTATGTTTCCCTACTAGCAAAAAAAAACCTGTCTAGAAATCCAAATGGTATTAGTTTTCTGAGTTTGCCAATCCTTCGGGTTGACAATTCTTCTGAATTGTGTTCCTTTAAGAATTTTCCAATGGTTTCAGTCCCAATATCAGAAGTAGTGTCAAGAAATTGACGCTGGGTGACTTATTCTTTAGCAATTAAGTCACTGGTTTACAAAGTCCTATAAAATTCCAACTTGACTCTCCAAGTTTTGAAGTCGGTGCCATCTGATTCCCGAGAAATATTGAATACTTTTTAACATTGCCTAAATTCAGTGGTGGATTAGATGAGGGAAAATAAGATGAAATTTAATCCAAACAGAATGAAGATTCCTTTGGTCAATAGGAAACTGGGTTAAGGGATTGGAGTTCAGTTTATTCTGGATAGGTTGGCATTTTCCCCTGCAAAAAGAGTACCGCAGCCAAGGATGCAACTTGATCCTCAGCCCTAACTTGATAGATAGCGAAGGAATTATGACAAGGAACATAATTGCATCTGGCATACAAACTATAACTATTCCTGAGCTGGTCTGATTGCATAGCAGTTACCCATGACCAAGCTGCTTTCTGTCTTGAGTGCTACAATGCATTCTCTATCGGCTATTCCTGAAAAGTATTCAGAACTTGGAATTGATGAAAAATATAGGAACGAGACTGTGAGATTGCAGGGTGACCAAAATAACTGCACCAAAATATCAGCATTGCTTGTGAGATGCCTTCAAGTGCAATTTAAAATGTTAAACTTTACAGCCCTAAATGATTCCCTGATTCATCACCTATAGAATATAGAGGGAATGGCCATGAGGGACAGAAGGAAGAGCCATTACCTAGGCCTTATGGTCAGATAAAAGCAGCCTAAGTCTTGGGCAAAAATGTCATATGATTAAACATTTTGGATAGGTTTCTTCCTAGTTCTCATGAAGATGAAGAAAGAAGGGATGGAAGCACATTCAGACTTAGATTATTTTGTTACTATAGCTTTACAATGTAAGTTGTATTAGCCTACATAGCAATGGTTTTCTAGTTTGATCTACCTTGAAGGGATGACATAACTTTTCATGTTACAAATATGTCTAGACATTAAAATCTCTAGAGAGTCCTTCTACCCTAGAGAGCAGAAGTTGCTCCTGCTATCAGAGGTCATGTACTATGTATAAAAAACAGGTTCCCTTCCATCCCCTTGGTTGCAGGCTATGGAATGCATTCTCCCTAGAACCAACTTTCTCTGCTTCCTAAAACTCTGTAAAAAAAATTTCACCAGATCTCTTTAGAGATTAATGCTTTCATTGTCTGCATTTTTCTCATTTCATTACATTTGCTTATTGTGCTTTTTGTAAATTTGTGTGCATTTATAAATTGCAATCCTTTTAAGGGTTCGTTTTAAACATAAAGTTAGCAAATAAATAAGAAATATACATGATTTGAAATCAGAAGGATAAATTTAAGGTTCTAAACAATAATTACTATTCATTAATACTGAATCTTAAGATTTTAGATTTGAACAATGATTCTTAAATCAACTATGTAATAGTATAGCTGATAGGAAAAAAGCTGAATAGACACACAATACAATTTGTTGCAAGCAATATTAAAAAGCAATAGTGTTATAGAATTATAAATGCAAGTATGAGTTGGGTGGAATATACAAATTTTTTACTTTAAATGTCTATTTTTTTAAGCTAAAACAATATGGTTAAAAGAATGCAAGTTTTATCAAAGTAAGCACTGGACAAAAAAGTTACACGATACAGTGCAACTTGACAGTTCTGGTGCCATATGGTATAAATGTAAACCATGTATTCTGCACATTTAAAAAATATGTTTACTACTTCATGACAGACAAGTGTTTTGACTGACTTTAGCAGAAGTACAACACATATCTATGTACACCAGTGCCAATGCGTTGCTGAGAGATGAGGCACCATGTTACCTGCAAACTGGCACAAAAATAAAGACTTTTGGTGGTTAGCTTTTTAATTGTAGTGTAGTCGCAATGGGATATTATCTATAAACATCAGCAAATGAAAGTACTTTAGAACAGGGGTCTCCAACCTTGGCAACTTTAAGACTTGTGGCCTTCAATTCCCAGAATTCCTCAGCCAGCAAAGCAACTCTGGGAGTTGAAGTCCACAAGTCTTAAAGTTGCCAAGGTTGGAGACCCCTGCTTTAGAACATCTTGCACCTGGCATTCAAAGAACACTGAGGAAAATATTTCAGATACTTGGATAACACAAATGCCCTTCAATAATAAACTACCAATAATAAAACTGTTAATATTAGAGCGTACTCTTAAAGCCAATCTCGGGTATAAAACCTCCAGAATTAATGATCTGTGCATTGTTGTCATTGAAACATTTCCTTTTTCACAAAGTTCTAGAGTAGGAAGAGACTTTACAAATCATTTGTGCCAGCACCCTGCTCACTATATGATCCACCATAGCACATTTGACAGATCACCATCCAGGCTCCATCTGAAGCCCCCTAGTGAAAGGGAACTTGGCACATCATGTGGAATCCTGCTACAATAGCTGACAGTTTATGTGATCAGGACATTTCTCCTGATATCTAATCAGAACCTCCTCCTTTGCATATTTAGCTTTTTCTGATCCTGCTCTCTGAGGCAAAAGAGAAATCAATCCATTCCTGTGTAATAGTTCTTCTGATATTTGAAGACTGCTACTGTATTTCAGTTACCCTTTCTCTTGGCTAACTATAACCAAATCCTTTAACCTTCCTCATAGGGCTTTGTTTCCAAACTCTTTGACGATTCTAATCAGCCAACAGTTGATGATTAAACATTACTGGAACCCTAGGTCATAGGGCCCTTAGTGGAGATGGACATTTTGTCCACCTCTAGCTTTGGCGCTTACATTATAGTTCTTCTTTCCATGGACATGCCCATGTTCTCATATATTTGGGTGATTATTCAATCTTCAGTTCTTTATAGGGATACACAGCTCTCCACTGCAAACAGTGGCATACAAAGTTGTCCTTCATTTGAACTTTTTCAACAGTCTAATATTAAAATTGTTTTGAAGAATGGAAAAATATATACATTTTACAACATAAAACTAGCAAATCTAGGACAGATTCAGGATTCGTGGCATTAACTCAAAGAATAAGGAGTATGTTTAAACTGGTAATTACATTTAGAAAACCCACCAGTTTTAGTAACTAAGCACTCAAAAAATAGACTCTAAATTGATTAGTTTAGAACTTGGAATTCTAGACGGTACAAATTTTGGAAAGCCAAATATAAAAATCCAAGGGGAATATGATGCTCTTAACATGGATTTTAGAAATTTATCTCATCTTTGACTAAACAAGAGGTTTACAGTTGAAGTACAAAGTATAAGTTATAAACAATACACATTTAGAAATAACCACCATTAGAATTAGTAAAGTCAAACTCAAAGAAAATATTAAAGCAGAGATAAAACTGAGTTAGCTCCATTAGGATGAGCAATTCTCCTTCTGGCAACCATGTACAGCATTTGAGAAACAAAAGAGTGTGTACCCCACAATAATAAGTACTTCCATTCCTACCACCCATACATAAACCCACAATGAAATTATACCACAAATTCTTCCCTCAAGCGCTCACTTAAGTCTCTCTATAATCTCCAAGAAGATCTGAATACAGATTTTTCTACATTACTTTTTCAATATGGTTTCAAAGAAACACACTGCTAATTTTAGGAGGCATCACATTGAAAGACAGAAATGGTACAAATGAGTTAAACTGAACTGTGGCCCAAAATAACATTTCTATAAGCAAATGAATTCTTTCCTTCCAACCAGCCATTTCCCATCTTCCTCCTCAAAAGCGTATTTTAAGACTGCCTAAATATGGTTGATGGAAAAGATACAATAGTTACACTTACAAACTCTGTGAGTTATTATTTTAAGCGAAACCATGATTGTGAACCGTTTATAAATTAAGCAATTCTTGATGTTGTCTTCTCTTACACTTTCCTGGAAAACAATTATTGTCAATGGATAAACTGCCAACTATGGTGGTTAATCAAAGATAAAGAAAGCAGGTACTTGAAAATAAAGTGACAGTATACTAAGCATTCAAGAAAAAGAAAAATCAATAAACATGTGAAGTGCAGTTTGTTAATTGACACATACAAAAATTACTAGATTTTTCTCCTAAAATTCCCCAGTCAGATCCAGAGTGAAATATACATTCTTGTAAAATATATAGAAGAAAAAACAGTTTAGTTAATAACTCCAAAGACATATTGGTACAATAGCTAAATATCACTTTAAAAATAAAAATTCCATCTGTTAAATTTTCAGAACTCCAACAAGTACTTGTCTAAGAAACTTGAGAGGTGTTAAAAAGTACAACAGATGTACCACAGATATGGATGGTAGAATCAAATAGGTATCTATTTAAATAGGAGTTTATTCAAACATAAATCGTACATACTAAATACGGAACAGTGAGAAATACAGGTTTGTCATCTGTTTCACAGTTATGTGCTAGTTGCAATGGGAATTAGTGTTCTAAAAACAATGATTGAGCATTATTAGGGCAGTCGGCCTAACACTTCTGTTTTATCTTGATGTACTTCACTTTGTGTTTTTGTTCAGGGTTTTTTAAATAGTACAGTGTAAGTTGAACCTTCCTTGTTATTACTAAGTTTTCACACCTTCCAAGATCACAGAATTCTACCTTTTCCAAGAGCATCTTATTTGTTGATCTTCGTAGGGACCAAGCATAGCATTTGTGGTTCAAGAAAACATTTGCAACCATAGGTTCAAAGAAAGAGAAGAGAGAGAGGGATTAACACTGCTGAGGGAAGGTCACAAACATAATTTAAAAGTGAACCAAGAAGAGCAGCTGCATCTTTCAGCCCAATCAACTTGGCCAGCTGGAGAATTTGCCAGCAGTATGAAAACAATGCACACCAGATGTCCAATGAAAGATGTACAAGTAAGAAAATAAAAGATCTCTGGGCATAACCCTGAGCTATTAGTCTTTTTAGCATCTAGGTCACAGTGGGCATCATCAAAACAGATACAAGTATAACACAAACTTTAGAGGGATTACATTACTTCTAATATTTAATTTAGTTCTGTGCCAGTAAAATATTAATGCTTTTCTCTCATAGCATATAAAATCTCTAAGATGCTCTGAAATTAATGGGTTTTTTAAAAAATATAGATGTTATACCATTAAATACTGAAAGAAATCATAATGGGGGAAAATGTGAAATGCAAACTTTGTTTTCTGAGAAACAAAGAGTATGAGAAATTATTTAAAAAACCCCAGCTAAGAATATCAAAAGTGGCAGGTGCCTGCATGAGAAGCCCTACACAGGTAGTCCTTGATTTACAACAGTTTGTTTAGTGACCATTTAAATTTACAACAGCACTGGGAAAAGTGACTTATGACCGTTTTTCACTTACAACCATTGCAGCATCCCCATGATCATGTGATCAAAATTCAGACACTTGACAACTGACTCGCATTTATGACATCTGCAATATCCAGGGTCATGTGATCACCTTTTGCGACCTTCTGACAAGCAAAGTCAATGGGGAAGCCAGATTCATCTTAACAACCACAGTAATTCACTTAACAACTGTGGCAAGAAAGATTATAACATGGGGAAAAACTCACTTAACAATTATCTTGCTTACCAAGAAAAAATTTCAACTCAATTACGGTCATAAGTTGAGGACTACCTGTACTGTAGTGTAATAGTACAAACAAACAAGACAATTTCAAATGACCAAATTGAACAATTGGAAACTGAAATGATTCTAGTTTGCAGCTTTAGTAATTTAAATAACAGCTTGCAAATACAAAATTGTGCTTTAGGCATGTCCACAATCTGATGATGCTGAACTGCATCTTCAGCATCCACAGTATTAGTTATGCTGGGAGTTGTGGTTGGCAACATCTGGAAGCCACATATCGTGCACCCATGCTGTAAGGAACCTGGCCACAATGGCCTAATTAATGGGCCATTCAGTGGACAAGTTTATTTTTCTTAGCCATTCTGAAAGCAAGTCTACTTTTTTTCTCCACCAATCCACTCTTTTGTCCAGCTCATTAAAACTTTGTGACCTCAATTTCACCTCAGTTATGCATCTAACTTTTGATAGCATTTCCTCCCTCTCATGCAAAGCATAGTTTGTGGTCAAAAGTTCTGGAGCAGTTTGAACTTGAGCAAGTAGTAACGGCAAAAAAAAAAAAAAAAGTTTTCTGCAGAATCCTTTTAGTGTAACCTTTTTAGCTATTCATTTTCCATTTGTTTATTCTAGCTATTTCAATTACGCTATCAAAAACAGGCCAGTTCAAACATCATGGTTTGGCAACTTGGAGCATTCTGTGGGCACAACCATGAAAGAGAAGAGAAACAGCATGAGCCACTTGGCATCTCACAGACATCAACCATAGTTTGGCCATGCTACCTGAGTTGCACAAGAGTTTCTGTGGCCATGGGAAGCCACATGACAAATTAAACAATGGAATTAACTTTTCTTCAGCTACTTTATTTTTACTCCGGGATAGGAATAACTTAAAACGAGCCTGCTGAATAAAATAAGGAATTCATTTTTAAGCGGCAACTAGTTTTCACAAGTTACTCTTTGTGGCTTACCTTAGCTTTGCCATCCTGTGCCGACATATATCCCACACACATGCTTTCTGTTGTATGACTCCACAGGAACTCTACTATGAGGAGGAAAAAAAAGTGTTTATTTACTAACTGAAGTATCCTGTCTATTTTCCCAACAAAGTGCTGAAAAACAAGAAGCAAGAGCCTCTTCTTCTTTGAAATAAAACTGGATGGTTATTTGAAAGGTGTTTGAAAGGCATCAAATTTATTAGAGAGAGAAACATGTAAATATGTAAATGTTGTGGTCCGCAAGCAGCCTGGCAGTGGAGTCAGACAGTGAGGAGGCTGGGGAGGAACATGGGCCAGTCCTGGAGTCTGGGGAAGGCTCAGACGAGGGCTCTGCATCAGAGGCAGAGATGGGGCCAGGGCCATCTGGGAGTTATACGCAGACTCCAGAGCCTCCAGAGTCGGATATCAAAGAGCAGAGGAACAGGTTCCTAGTTCCTAGTGCACACATGCACAGAGCTACCAGAAGGAAAGAACAGTTAAAACTAAAGGGACAACTCGGGGGTAAGGTCTGGAGATGATTGGCCCCTCCCATAAGGCTTAAAAGAGGAGCAAAGGCACATGGGCTCTTTGCAGGAAAGGAATGTTGTTAATTCTGTTCCCAGTCAGCATCTCTGTTTGATTCTGGACTCCGTGGGGCTTTGCCAAGTAGGTCTTTGGCAGAGTGTCAAGGGAGATAAAGGTTGGTGATTATCCCAAAGGACTTTTTGCAACTAATTGGGACTCAACTGTGAATGAACGTAATTCACAGCTGTTGCAATAAAGGAGGTTTTGGGGACTACTCATGTGTTTTAATGACTCAGGAAGCCTAGGTCACAACAGTAAACTGGCCTATTAGCTAAAGAAAACCTCGAGTTCCATGTTCCAGTGCTTGAATGCTAGAAACACCAACGCTATTTTTGCTTCTTTGTGCCATCCAAGGCAATTTTAGACAATGAGCATTTGGGGGGGGGGTGTCCTTATTTGCTGGAAGGAAAAGATCTCATGGCTCCTTTTATTAATGAGAAGTTGCTCAAAATCATCATGTTGCCCCTCCTTCTATTTTTGCCCTATAAAAAAAAGAGGGAATGATTTTTATCCTAGAAAAGTGACTCACAATTACGGTCTGCCCCAGACAATTTCATAATTGTAGGCGCACCTCCTCCTTTATACCTATTTCAGAAACCTAGATGTAGTAAAATTTCTTCAGAAAAGAAATTAACAGACCATGGATTGGTAAGTATTTAAATTCTGCACTGTGTTTTATTTTGGTTTTTCAAGTCATAGAGGTATAATCTAGTTATTACGTTTAATGACAACTGGATAACTTATTCGAAGCTCACTTCTCGTACTTACCTAATAGGGATTGTTTATCCTGTGAAGAGTTGGGCTCTGCAGAACACCTACAAGAGCGGAGAACTATCACTCCTCCCAGAACACCATCCTCATTGGCTAAAAAAGGTGAACCTATGGAGAAATGGGAGGCAAGGAAAGAATCACAGAAAATGTATCTTTTTTTTTTTTAATGGATGCTGGCTGTCTCCTATAAATGCATAAAATGTAAGAAATATAACCACCTGCTTTACTCACCTGCAATGGATCAGACTGAAAGATTCCCTTCCACTCACTGAATATATTTTTTTTATATCAGATAACTGCAAAAATGAAATTATTGCTAACTAACCATACGTTTTTGTTATGCAGTAGTTCTAAGAGAGGCAAGATATTTCAATATGGCATAAAATCCATCTTGTCATAACAATGTTATGATAAAAATATCGTAACAATATTTTGTCTTTTGTTTTCCTCCATGTGTTTAATTTGCCTATTTCAAAGGTATGAATCAAATACTATCACGATACTATCAGTATAATTTGATAGTATCAAAAAAAGCGAGCTTCTCCTGTCAAGATGTACTAAAGGATGATGGATCACACAAACATTTAAAGTGAAGAATTTCAACTACAGTAGAACCTCTGGTCATGACCATAATTCGTTCCATAACTTTGGCCGCAAACCGATTTGGTTGTGACCTGAACCTAATTTGGCCCTTACAAAAAAAAATGGCACAGAAGGGGAAATCAGCTGTGAAAAAAAAAATTGTGAAGTTTTTGGTTGGAACGTGATTCGGTTGTGGTCAGAAGCATTCGTGACCAGAGGTTCTACTGTACTTTCAAACATTATGGTCTTCAGGGGAAGACGATAGCAACTATACCCACAAAAAGGACAATTCATCTGAAATTAAACAATATGCCATAATATATTGGGCCTATAATGCGAACTTTAAAGAAAGCTGCCCAAAGCCACTGCTATTTGTAATACCCTGCCCATTTTGCTGAGAAATTCCTTTGAAACACTGGAAAAATGAGCAAAACACAACTGCTTCACAAATGTTCTTTTCAAATTTGAAACATACTGTTAAAAGGTGCTACACCAGAAGCTGTAATTAATTTTAAATTAGCCAACTAAAACTTACACATACCACTTTTTATTTTTGGTTCAGTTTCAAATTAATGTCATATATTTTAAAACGTGGAAAGAATTTTATGGTTATCCCACAAGATTAAATGCAAATGTAACAAGTCAGTTAAGGGCAGAGAATCTTTGATCACACATTTGTTAAATATTCATTGCCTGCATATCAAGCAACAATAGTGGAACACTATATATATGGGTGCCATCGGCCAAACAATGCCGACTGGCAGCCCCCAGGGGCAGAGCTTTCTCTGTGGGAACACCTGCCCTCTGGAACGATTTCCCCCTGGAGATACGGACGATTCCAGACTTACGTACTTTCCGTCGGGCCTGCAAAACCCTTTTATTTCATCAAGTCGGGCTGGCCTAATCTCTCCAATTGTGTATTTATTTTGGATTTTTAATGGGGGATTTTAACTGCCGGGCCAAATTGTTTAGTTCATTTTTAAATTGTTTTTATATTTCGTATTTGATGTTTTTTACTTCTGGCTGTTCACCGCCCTGAGTCCTTCGGGAGAAGGGCGGTATATAAATTTAAATATTAAATTAAATTAAATTAAACTTCAGCTGCATCAACTAATTTTACCTGCAGTGATTAGATTGAAATATACCCTTTCACTCACAGAATGCTTTCTTTTACATCAGATTATTGCTAACTAACCATACATTTTTGTCAGGTTGAACTCATAGTTTTAAGATAGGCAATATATTTCAATACAGTCTAGAATTCATCTGTTGAAATTATATATTTTTTTCTTGTGTTTGTTTTTCTCCTTATGTTTAACTTGCTTTAATCACTGAAATGTAAGTACTTTTTTTAAATACTGGAGTATCAGTGATGTATTTTTTTTCTTTGCTACACAAACAAAACAGTCTGTTATATGTTATTTACTTATAGCAATAGTAGAAGGATGTGCTAAACATTTGACTTTCATCTCGTGCTGCTGAGCAAGAAAATATTTCATCATTTTACAACCGTAAAATGTGCATTATGAAACAGGGAAAAGGCTACCAGAAGGCCATGGCGGAACATGAGAGAATGAAGACCAAAACAACAGTGATGTTCTATGGAGCTTAGTGAAACCCAGCAGCAATTCAAAAGTATTTTGTTAACTTCGTTTTTCAAATATACTCAGTTTCTAGTAAAAGCAGAATTTAAACATTTCAAAAGTTGTAAGATAATTATTTCATCTACATTTGCAAAAAGTCCCATAGGTTTTAGAACAACTAGATTTCTGTAAAGGCCTACTAGGCAATCTCTACTATCTGTACTTAACTAGCTTATGAACTGAGTACGGTAAGCTGTAACTATTACCCAATAATATTTTCTTTCTGCTCCTCTGCAGAAATACATATACAGGTAGTCTTCAATTTACAAAGGTAATTGGGACTGGAATTTCCATTGCTAAACTACGGGGTTGAAAAGTGCAATGTCACATGATTGCATTGCTTAGTAACAGAAATCCCAACAATCCCCATTGTCGTCATTAACCAATTCCCATTGGTCATTAGGCAAGGTCCCATCCCAATCCAAGTCATTCCTGGCTTGGTCCCCCCCTAGCCTTGAGCCTCAAAATGTAACAGGCTACATTTTTGTACATTTTGAACTCCCACTTGCCTATCTCTTCCGCGCCATCTGTGCTCTTTTGGCCATCCTGTGATCAGCAGGCCATAGTGATGATGGCAGCGTCAATGATGCTGAAGTGGGGGCTTGAGGCCTTTAGCAGTCTCAGCCAGCTGTCGCTGCCATCCCCCAGACCTCTACTCGATGGACGGGGTGCCAAGAACTTGAATTCTGATCACATGATTCCTGGGGTGCTGCAATGGCCGTAATTTAGAGGCCATTGTTCAGTGTTGCCATAACTTCAAATGGTCATCAAACAAACTGTTGTTAAGAAATGATGACCTATCATCAATTTTAAAAATAAACAATGAACTGTTTTTGGAAATAATCTCATTCCCTCCTCCCCCTGAACAATAGATGTAGACTCTGATCTAAAGAGGTTATTATTTTGGAAGTTAAGCTACTAAACTTTTCTGGATTGCACTATAAACTATCACACCCATGAAAAAAAGGCACTCAGATTGCCATAGTAATGTTGTAAGGATATTTAGTATTTACATAAGTAAATATACAGCCAGTTTGGCATAGTGATTAAGGCATCAAGCTAACCACCAGAAGATTGCAAAGTTTAGTCCTGCATCGTAATCTGCAAGGACTAGCCCAGTAGCCATCAAGAGTCAATGCTCACCCGAAAGATGAAAATATATATATATATATATATATATATATATATATATATACCTCTGAACTCTATAGTACTTCACCTTTTCAAAGCTTCTCAGCATATGAGAATTAACAAGGAACCTGAAGCATGAGTATTTTTTTCATCATGCGAACGTTCCACACTCTAATTCATACGCAAGAGATTATCAAAAATGTATTTTTGCAAAACAGTGCATGCATTATTAAAGAAAAATAGCTGAGGTTTTTAAAAGTTTGAAAATACTTTACATGCAGTTCTAAAGAACTACGCATATTTCAATTGTTAGGCTCCCAAATCAGCCTGCAAATAGAATAAACATTTACTGAGAAGCTTGCATTCCACAAACTTGGCTGAATTTGAAAGGAATAGATGAGGTATAAAATCCTCTGTTCTGTCTGAAAGATACTTATGTTTACAGAACACTATTTTCATTCTACATCAGTTGTATATTCCATCTTTTATCTTTATTAAACCAAAGGTAACCTACACAAAAACAGCATAATTCATGTATTCCGCTTCTAATCCACCATTACTTAAGTCAAATGTCCTGTTAGCTATAAAAATAAGATGAAGAAAGCACAGCTGCTACTAGGGTGGTCTTTCATGCACTTTTTAATAAAATTCTGAATATCCACTCAGGTACTCCCAAGTAAGAAGAAATATTTATATGCCTCTCTGGGAAGTTTTATTTTGTGATAATAAGTAGATAAGAGATCGATAAAACTCTGATGATAAAGAGAACAAAAGTCATAATGTTACTAACCTACTTTATTCATAGTTATTTGTCAGAGATGTAAAATTTACACTATAAATTGCAGTTCAAGCAACTACTCTTATCAGTAAAAATTAGAATATGCCCAGCATTTTTGCATTACCATTTAGGTGCACTTTTGCAAAATGTGGTATTGATTTTAAGATCTGACAGCTCTTAACAAACCCCGTGCAGTAGATATAGGCTTTTTTTGGATCAGATGGCATGTCTTTAAAAACACTGATACTGAACGATATTATACATTAAACAATCTTTTTTAGCATTTCAGTTGCTTTAACTGTTTACCATTTCTATAATCCAGCATACTAAAAAAGGCACTGTTGTATCCATATATTTTGAATTATGCCTCTTCGATTACTTTTAAAGGTAGTTCTTGACTATCCAAAATGTGATCACATGACCATGGGGTCACTGCAGTGTTTCTAAGTCCCAGGAGAGTTTGTATGTCACTTTTTCAGTGCCATCATAACTGAGTGGTAGTTATACAAATGGTGATAAATTGAAGACTATCTGTATTAAAAATATGTTAATACTTTGCAATTAGAATAGAGAACAGCTATTTTATCTATAGACCAATCAATTAACAGTAACAGAGTTGGAAGGGACCTTGGAGGTCATCTAGTCCAACCCCCCTGCTCACGCTGGAGACCTATGAGGGATTCGAACCGCCGACCTTTCTTAGCCACTGAGCCATTTAGGGAGCTGCCTACGTAAATTAAATTAAATTTAAATTAAATTAAAGTAAACTAAACTAAGTAAATAGTAAATTAATTACTATTGATAGTAGATAAAATAGATTACAGACAAGAATTGTTATTTCATAGATTTTAGATTATTAGAACAAAAAAGGGGAACCAAAATCACATTTAGAAAGCATATTTAGATAAAATAATACACACATTCATATTATACCTTTTGATTGCTCTTAGCTTTTCTGCCTAGAAAACCGTTACCTCTTTTTACAGAATATTTTCTTTTTACAACCTTTTTACAGAAAATGGAAGTAAAGCATTTGACAGTAGTAAATTACAGTTACTGTATAAATCTGTATATGAAAATATGAGAAATGTTAAGGCATTTCGCTGTCAGAAAAGTAGTATATCTTATACAGTCTATCGTGTAGAATAAATGTTGGGTGAAAAGTGCAAGTATTATGTAGCCCATTTTGTTAAATGGAAATGAGAATTGGTATATCAGGAGAAATGTTAAAGTAAGCTGAATGCAATGGGAATAGGGAATTTAGATATACTGCATACCAAGAATGAATAGTTGTTGTGAACTGAAAACAAAAGTGCATTCAGTTCATAACAATTTTAAAAAATTACTGATTTTGATTTTGTTCATATCAAGAGAATGTAAAATAATCAAACTACAAAACATACAACGTAGAGAAAAACTGAGAAAGACATGGTCATGGTTATAGAGTTAATGAGATTTAAAAAAAAGAGATTAAAAAAAACAATGTATGAATTGATATGCCAACTGTGGTAAAAGCAGGGATAATTTGCAAGGATAGAAAATTATGGAGCAATATATGAATAGTGTTGATGTAAACAAGATTTAGTTCCATTTGCTTTTCTTTTATCTATTGCCTTTTGTTTGTTTACTACTTCTTTTTCTGCACTTTGCATAACCCTGCTTATTCTGAAACTGAATAGGTTAACGGATATCTTTGTATGTATATATATTGTACTAAAAACTCATTTGTATGTTTAGATTTTTCATCTCGCTTATACTAATTTGAATAATTTTTTAAAACTTTGATATAAACAATGTGATACATACAGTTCAATCCCACAGTCTTCCATTTTCTTCAACATTGCCCTTAGAATTTCATCTAACATTCATTTAGATTTTATAGTGAATTTTTCATTCATTTAAACACACGTGGCTGCTACTTGTGTACCAGCCCTGTGTTTCTGAGGTTGACTGATTTACCATCAGCAAATGTGAATTGAGGAATCTGAAGCTTCAATCCTTCATTTCACTACCTTCCAGATAATCTATAGCGGGGGTGTCAAACTCAAGGCCCAGGGGCCACATTGGAAATAGCAAAGGACCGGCCTGCGGTGCCTCTGCCAGTGAAAACTGAGCTTGGGAGGGACATGCACCACCCTCCCAGACTGTTTTAGGACGCGACGGCCTCCTGCAGCCCTCTGCCAGTGAAAATGGAGCTTGGGAACCCGTTTTTACTGGCTGAATGCTCAGGCCACCACAGGTGCCCCCTCTGACAAGAGTGATGTCAAGCTGACCACACCCACCCTGGCCATAGCTATAAATGTCTTACTGTTTAAGAGGAAAGAATCTGTAGGCAGAGACTCTTCTAGGAATGATGCCTGCCAGGTTTTCATACAAAAGGGGGAATGAATATTATCTTTGATCCTGGGTAAGCAACACATAACCAATGTGGTAGCCTCACATTGAAATGAACAAGGATATGCATTCAATTTTGCAGCAACTACTATTGTTGGATGAACAGGGACAAAAATATCCAGAGAAATGATTGACACCTGGGAAATCCCTTTTCAATCATTAGGAGTTCTGATTTACCACCAGAGTAAAGAGCCTATTGGGTTCTTAGGAGCTAAGAGTGCGGTGATACTAGGAAACAATGATTAACAACTTAATAGCCAGCCATGAACATCCTAATTAACAACAACAACAAAAAGCTACACACAAGCAGGAACCATATATGTAGAACAGACCAGTGCACATATTCTGGAGGGAGAGAAGTTCCTTGATGATGGGCTCCAGTATGAGCTGAAAGCTTGGAAGAATAAACCGCTGAGTGTCTTTAAAAATTGGATGGAAATAATTTGCCTCAGGGAGGGCCTACCTCTGTTATGCTCACACTTACATTGCTACAAAAGGTATGGCTTAATTTGGTATTACAATTTATATTGTCTATCGAGCATAAGAGCTGAGGTGGCGCAGTGGTTATAGTGCAGTACTGCAGACTACTTCAGCTGACTGCTAGCTGCAGTTCAGCAGTTCAAATCTCAACAGGCTCAAGGCTGACTCAGCCTTCCACCCTTCTGAGGTTGGTAAAATGAGGACCCAGATTGTTGGGGGCAATAGGCTGACTCTGCTTAGAGAGGGCTGTAAAAGCACTATGAAGCAGTATATAAGTCTAAGTGCTATTGCTATTGCTATGAACGTGAATATTATAGTCAATGGCTATAATAAAACTGAACTGCTTTGGGTGTATAAAGGGAATTGTAAGGAATTTTCTTCATACAAAGCAAGCCATCTTGTGATGTATAGAAATCAACAGCCTGTATTTAATTTTGCATGACATTATCAGAGGCAGCAGCCATATTCCAAAAATGAAAAAATGCAAGTTGACTTCTAAATGAAGGAATGAGTTGCAAAGCAGTGGATTACAGTAGGATTTAGGGAAAGGATTTTGAATGTTAAAATAAGGATCAGAAGAAAGGTTTGTCTGAAGCAGTACCGGAATCAGGAAGGATTAAAACATAGGCTCTCTCTTCAAAGGCTTGAAAACATTCCTGCTCAGTTGAGTCAGAACTAACATAGAACAGACCGGCAAAGACACAACATCCATTCACTCAGTGACTGGAGAGCTCTAGCAAACTGTTGCACTTCATTAAAAAGCAAGTTTATCAATCACCGCATTCCCTTCCCTCTTTTTGCATAAAATTAAAAGCCCTTTAAAATGGTGCACATGGAAGAGACTAGATATATGTAATACCAGCTGCTTTGGAAAGAATCCTCTTCTGCTTTAAGAATTAAAGAATACTCCCGAAGTGACCTATCCAGAATAAGACTCATTTTAATCTAGTGCATAAAGTTTAAATTTACTTATTAAATTTCTATAACAAAAGAACCAGTTTAGAAAACAAAAGGAAGGACAGCAATAACTGAATGAAAAATAATGGGTGCTTCAATTTTACGGAAGGTTTCTCCTTCAACAACCTGCACTTTTTTTAAAAAAAATCTTATCAGAAAACACATTCTACCAATATTTTAAAAAATGGAAAAACACCCTCTTTCCCCAAGTTTTAAATTGTTAAATCAATTTATAATAATTTTGAATTTAAGCCTAATTATATTACTGTCATTTTATGCTTTATTTTATTTTTTAAGCTATCTTGAGTAAAACAACAAAATAAGTAGAGCAACAAGGTATTAATTCAGTAACGGAGCAAAACTTACATTATCAAAGAACAGGGGAAGAAACAGTACATTGATGAAATCTCATACAAGTATTATCACGCCATTAGTTTCTTAGTACAAAAGCATTTCATTTATATGATTATTATTCAGGCTGGAGATGGTGCCACATGACTCTTAAGATGCAAAAAGTATTATTCTGCAACAGAATTATCTTTTGTGTTAAAAGAAACCAAATGCACTCTAAAGACAAGCAAAAATATTAGATTAAAAAAAAAACCCATGTCCTATCCTACGAAGTAGCATAGAACTCTTGTTTTCACTGCATTAACACGGCTAGAAACAATTAGAAGCCAGCTCTCAATTAAATTTTGTACTTACTAATAAACTTGTTTTGCATAGTTTCTAGCAGAGCTTGATGAGCATCTTCATTCTGCAAAGCACATGAACATTCTCTGGCCAGTAATGTCCGTACAAGATGCTCTCCACAACCTATATAAATATCAGGATGGTTAATATACATGTGCAAAACAGAAAAATATATTTATCTTAACTAATAGTTTGTATGGAACTGCTATAGTACTTTTCTCCAAGTACAAATCTCAAAAGATTCCAATGAACTAGAAAAAACTTGAAAACCAAACCAAACAAAACAATCAGAACCCATAATTTCAGAGAGTATTAATTCACCATTTAGTCTCCCAGGATGATTTTCAGTATAGTAAAGATTATTATTTCAAGCATGATCCATTGGTTTTACATTAAAAAAAAGAGTATGTGTATTTAAGATTCAGTTAGCAACACGTAGGGGCCTTCACAATGTTTTCTCACTTATGCTTATGTAAATTTCAAGCCACTTGAGTTATATTATAAATCAATAACAAAGAACAATGTTATGACATATAAACACCAAAGCCAAACTCATAAACATGGTATATCTTTTTTTAACCTTTGGGGTTGAACTTTGTAACTTTAATATGTTCAGTAATTAGCAAAACTAAATAGCTTATTCCTGCATTGCATTTCCAACATAAAAATTGTACTCAAGTTTAAACCCCCCCCCCCCCCCCCATTTCTTCCTATTAACAGAAGTTTAACTGAAGAGGCAGGACAGAGTATATGTCTAATACTCTGTCCTGTCTCTTCAGTGAAGTTTTTGTTTTGGTGAATATTCTTGAATTTCCAAAGAGTCCTGTCATTTTTTTTTCCATCACACTTGGGAAAACTGTATGATCAACTATAGCTTACTTCTCTACATTCTCTGAAAGAAAGCACCAATGTTAACTACTACAGACATCATGTCAAGATATTTTACTGTAGAGATTTACATAAAGAACCTACTTTATTATAAACAGATGCTAAGCCAACAGTGTAGTACTTAACAAAGGATCACACTTGCCCCAGCCATCTTTTCAAAGTGCTAAAAGGTCACTCCAGAATAGATCTTGCTGAAAACAGACTAGCACCTTTAAACTGACAGTCCCCGACTTCTACACACCTAACAGTTTAAATTTTTCATTCTGGAATAGTTTACAGTACTACTACTACTACATGCTGCTGACTAAGATCCATAGATACTTCCACTATTTTTGTTCCAATGCATTTTTAAAACAGAGCAAGGAGGCAGATACCTTCCATATGAATAGACCCGTGGGAGCTATATAACACTGACTCCTACTGTTTACTAAAGCCCACCCTCAAAGAAAAAGTGTTTCTCAAACTACAAACAAAACGCAGAAATGTAACCAATTCTAAACATCGAGGTGTCAGGCGAATGTTCTTTGCCAATTTCTTTGTTGGGACAGCTTGTCAAAAAGGTTACACTGATTTCATTGGCAGCTCACTGGCTGATGGAAGCATCTTTATGCTGCTTGTTTTCTCTTTTATTGAAAATGTAAAGGTAAAGAGTAAAGGAGCCTCTGTGAGAATTTTACTCTGTAGTCGTTGCCAACTATAGAGGGCGGTGCTCATCTCCATTTCAAGGGCTCTTGAGCCAGCACTGTCTGAAGACACTTCTATGATCATTTGACCAGCATGAGATCAGTGAGTGCCGATACCTTCCCACTGAAGTGATACCTATTTATTTACTCGCATTTGCATGCTTCCAAACATCTAGATTGGTAGGAGCTAGGGTGAGCTCACTCGTCTCATGTCTCTGAGGTCTCAAACCTCCTGGGCTGTCGGCTTTGCAGCTGACAAGCCCAGTGTATTAACTGCTGAATCATCATGCCACCCTCCATAAAGGCTGATAAAAAAAATTGTTAGAAGTGCTATAGGTAAATCCGTATTATGGTAACTCTTTAAATATTCTGATAGTTTCTCTCTAGCCCTCAGTAGGATCATCGACAAGATTAAATACTTCTGACTGATGTATAACATCTGTACCATTTTAGGTAAAAGCTCAGATGTCTGGACATTTTCCCGTACCAAAAAAATCTCCATGCACAAACCTAGTCTTTTAGCTTCAATCCATTTCTACCACCATAGCTTATTATACAAGCAGAACTTTTTCAGTGAAGCTAATCAAATGGTTTCCTATTTCCCCCACTGGGTTCACTTCCTACCCATGGGCTCCTGACCAGTTTTCCTATCAACCTACCTGCCCTGACTGGGAGAGATAGGAAAGGAAAGGAAAGGAAAGGAAAGGAAAGGAAAGGAAAGGGAAGGGAAGGGAAGGGAAGGGAAGGGAAGGGAAGGGAAGGGAAGGGAAGGGAAGGGAAGGGAAGGGAAGGGAAGGAAGGAAGGAAGGAAGGAAGGAAGGAAGGAAGGAAGGAAGGAAGGAAGGAAGGAAGTGATTCAGCTGTGGATCACCTGTATCACATGTCATTGGGGCCCTCATATTTTCATTGACGATTATTTCTAAAGCTAAGAAACATTTTTAAAAGGACCGATGCGCATTACAGTAGTACTCCAAGGTTAGGAAGTCTTTTGGGAGGTGCATGATTTTGTGCTGGCATTCTTCCTGGAATGATAGAATTAAACATGAAAAGCCCGAAAACTTCAAGGGCTGTGAGTGTTAACGTTCTTATCAGTTTACATGACCTTTGGTTACTACTACATGCAATGTTTTTCATTTCAGCTTATCACACATCCAAGCGCCTACCCAAATCCCCTTTAAGCAGATTTCTTAAAGTTTAAAATAACCTCACAAAAGTCTTTTTTTTTTTTCTTTAAAAAAAAAAACCCAGTATTGGGCAAAGTAAAACATGACTTATTATTCAAGCCTAGCATCTTAGAGTCATCTACCAATGGAACCAAGATGGCATTGCAAAGAACTTCTGTAAAGCGAGGCATTTCGGAGCAGTGTGTCAAAGAAATTGTTTCTGCTTCTTTTGATGAGCTTTCCTTTCAAGTCAGGAAATTAGAAGCAGGTGTGACAGAGGGCATCTGCATTCATACACCACACTGAAAAACACACGTTTTCAATTTTCAGACATGAAAGCAACTCCTATTGAATGGAGAAGAAATGAAAAGCCAGGCTTCTTTCTGCAAGCCACATGCAAAAAAGAAGGAAGCTAGGCAGCAAATTACAGCGCATGAACTATTGTTAAATGATCAGATACAGCAGCAAAGTTGCTGGAGGATGCAGAGAAATTCATCTCTCCGTGTTAGAACCATTATCTACTATACAGAAGTATTTTGAGCTTTTACTCCAAAGTGGCACCCATCGATATTTCAAAACTTGGTAGTAACTATTTTGAAAAATCAATTCAGTCACATACGAGGAAATGACAATTGAGATTGGAATTCAAACAGACAAATGCAGAAGTTTTTGAACAGAAATATTTAGACATTTCAAGATAGGCAGCATCAATATATTTCAAGAATTAGCATTCAGACAAATATTTATAAGAATAGTAAATACCTGAGGTACTCACAGCTGTAGAGTAAGGATTCTGAAATCCCATATTTTCAGCCCAGCAACCACATCCATAAAGAGCTGCCTGATAGAATCGTAAGAGGATTTTATGTAAAAACAAAGTTTATTCAAATGTTAGAAAATAGGTTTCAATACAAACTCTAGGTGTGCATATTATCTGACAAGGTCCCTTATTTCTAAGCAAACTCTTTGTATTTCCCTAAGCCACGAACCCATGAACACTACAGCTTCCCTGCAGAAGACAAGCTGAATCTTTTTTTTTTTATAGAAAAATCCACAACAAAATAACTTAAAAAACAATACTCAACAAATAAAATAACAATACAAAATATTATAAACTACAATATTGGATAAGAATACATTATAGTCCTAAGAAATTTAATCTTTAGGATCATTACTAATAAAATTCATAAAAGGATGCTACATACCATAAAAACCTCTTGGTTCTGCATAACTTTTAATATGCTTCTGTATTAAATTTTCCATTGATACCATATACTTTTATTTTATAATGGCACATTTTCAATATAATTTACAACATTTGTATATTATCAGAAGGTAATTAACATATAACATTCTTAAACTGTTCTTAGAAAATATTGTCCATAAGCATAATTTTACTTCTTCAACAAATTGTTTGGAATTAATATTGGTAATTACCCCTCTCTCCATATTCCAAAAGATGTTTATCTAAGGCACCTCCACCATGACCTCTTTTTCACTGCCTTTCCAACCATTTTGGGAGTATATTCTGTAAATCTATTATGTATACAGCAGTACAGTACTATTTATAAATTAACTTCAAAGAACTCTCTCTAACAAATGTAGGAATGACTCAGAAGGATTATTTCTGCCAAATTCTTTCCCACATTGGTAGATCCCTGGTTTTTTTTCCAAGTCTGCCTCCAAAAGTAATTTAAGGAATTGTTTCGGATGGGTACCCAATTATTTTAAGAATGGTGTAAATTTTAGAGCAAATTTGCTGAAACAATGGCAAGAAAATAGCATAGTATCCCATTCACTGATTTTTATAGTGAATCTCAATTCAAAGATATATGCAGGAAGAGGGCAAATGGCAATATGAGTGCCATGCCATAAGTTCTGCCATTTTTTTATGGGCATTGGTCTATTACAATCATGTATAAAAGGGGAAGAGCTTGTGTTGCTGCTCCAGGGCTCACTTCATCATTTTGCAAAATGATCAGTTTTCCCCAAGATTTCTGTTTTAGTTGTTCAGACTGTATCCCAAAACCTTTTTCAAAAATCATGAAAACTCAGAAAATTAATATCAGTCTGCAAGTTTATATACTGTATACTTGTAAATGTAATTGTTTATTGTTTCATATCTTGCCATATCTTCCAGAGCACAAAGTGGCTTACATGGAGATTTTATCTCATTTTATCTCCACAACATTCACCATGTAATCTATGTTGGACTGAGAGAGTCACCATTCCAACATCATCCAGTGAGTTTTCATGGTTGAGATGGAATTGAACCTGAGACCCCTGGTCCTGCATCTTAGTCATTATAACACTGATAAGGGGAAGCCATGAGGTTTCCCTTGGCAAGAATCTGATAAAAAAAATCCCTGCCTTGCATAACCTCAAGAGTATTTCAGAAAGTAATGGAATAGTTGTGGATAAAACATCAGGCTAGAAACCAGGAATTTATGGGGTGACCTTAGGGCAGCCCGTCTCTCTCATGCCACCCTATGGCAACATAGGGTACCCTAGGCAATGGCAGATCACTTTCAAAACCTTTGCTAAAAAAACTGAAGAAACCCATCTAGACAATTGCCAGAAGTCAATACTGACTAGAAAGTATATGAAAAACACAGAATAGGAAACAGTTTCCAAGTCAATTTTAAGAAGCAAGCAGGACCACATCTAAAATGTATTTTATTAAATGCTTGGTAGTTCCTACTGAGAATGGATTATCATATAAATCTCTAACCTGAACTAGCATTGTTTTCATCAAGTTGAAGAATGTGCTCTCTATTTGACAGCAAGTTTGGTTCAAAAAAGTGAAGATGTACCATCAAATTAAACCTACCTGACCAACTCTCCCAGGATGTTTCAAAGCTAAGCCTCCACTGGAAACGGCAGCAGCAACATTTCCTTCTTGATCAATAACAACTGCTCCAACAGTGTCCAATGTTTCTGACTCATTTTCCTATACAACAGAAAAACAAAGACATTGAAAAGATATCCTTAAGCAGTGAGATATTTTTGCAGTTGAAGTCATATGGGAGCTTAAAGCCAAATAACTATCAATGGAGGACAGGACTGTTTACTTTTCTTGACCGGATTGCACATACTCTACATCCAATTGTTGAGATCACTTGCTAAGGTCAGTTTTTGCACCTAAAATATGAAGTTTATCTCCAAGACAGAAGGCTGTCTCACCAACAATAGCTCTAGTCAGGGAAACTTTTTTTACCAACTTGTTCCGAATAAAACTTCAATAATAACAAAACACCTCTAATGAAGTATTTTCCTCCTCTGAATAAGCAAAATAAGACAGGGCTTTACTCAAAATGTATACAAGTCCCCAGGTTAAAAACGTCCCAATTTAAGGACATCTTATAGCACAATTGTATATAGCAAAATTCCAGATAAATACACGATTCAAATTTATTTATTTTATTTTTATTTATTTTTATATGCCGCCCTTCTCCGGAGACTCAGGGTGCCTTACAATGAGTTAAGCAATAGCCTTCATACTTTTGTATATTTTATACAAAGTAAGCTTATTGCCCCCACAAACCGGGTCCTCATTTTACTCACCTTAGAAAGGATGGAAGGCTGAGTCGACCTTGAGCCTGGTGAGAATTGAACTCGCAGTAATTGCAGGCAGCTGGATGTTAAATGCTGCCTTTGTAGGAGGCATTAGCCTCCTATGTCACTCAGGCTCAAATTCACAATACTACTTCTATGGTAGTTTAATACTCTTCTGGCCTACATACAAATTCAACCTAAGGGAAAGATTTGGGGAATGGAACTTGTTCTTAAACTGGGGGTTTACCAGTAGTGTGAAGATAACTTATGCAATGCCTTTTACAACATTAACTACATTACAGTGGCATTTCAAGAGTAATTTTTTAAAAACCACAAAAAATGCCCCCAAAATTCTGCTAATAGTGACTAGGGTTGAAATAAGCAATAATAAGTTATTATTCTCTTTCTAATGCCCATTTTTCTATTTCTTTTTAGGATACTGTTTGCTGTCTCTTATTTTTTACATAGCAGGGTACGAGGGATGAGATAGGAGGATTAATCATTACCAAAATGCTTCCAGAATCAGGCTCAGGATCAAATAAAATTAAGTTATGGGCTGCAAATTACCTAGTCCTGAAATGTATTTTTAATGAAATGTAAGCTCTATTGGACTGAAATGGAACTTACTGCTCAATGCAGATCCAGACAGGACAGCAGCGAAAAGGGTGTGTTTTTCATCCCTAAGTATCCTTACTTAGGACTACGTTTTTCTGAATATATATTCACTGATAGATTTAATATATTCCAAGGTTTGTATCTTGTTTTATGCTTGTTTTACTAGATACTAGAGTATCTTGCTAGAGTATCAAGAGTATCTTGAGATCTGATATAATCAAATACACAACACATTTGTTTTTAAAGTAATTATTTTTAGAGGCTACAGCTTTTGGCAAAAACAAAGACTAGAGTTCCAACCATCATTTTACTAATTATTTATCAACTGGACTTTCAAGGGATCTTCTGCCAGATCTTCCCATTACAAGCGAGCACTGCACATGAGTTTCCCATTCAAATTAATACAGTGGAAAGAGTTGTATATATGCTTCCTTCTAATGAAGATTAAAGTCCTTAGAACAAAGGCTCTCCAAGAAGCAACCGAAGGCCATCGTAAATCCTCTTTAATCTGAATGACTATGGTTCCAAGAAAGAATAAAAGTTGTAAACCAAGTTCATCCCATTTAGCCATGCAGAAGCTCAAATAAGTTATGGAAAACAAAGTGTTTATTATGAAAACATATGAGAAGCAATGATAGACAATTTTGGTCAACTGGAGCGCCTATGGTTCTTGTGGCCTTCAAATTCTTACTTTGCAAGTCTTCTAGCTTTCTCTTGAAAATGCCAAAAATAAAATAAAAATGGAAACACCATTTCCTGCCATTTTGAACTGAGAATCAGATAAAAGCTGAAGTAAGTCTTAAATCGCCCCTCCCTGCAACTCCCTCTGAAATCCAGGGGGAATAACAGTTGTCAATATTGGGGACATGACCCTATCTATATTCCAATAACATCTCACCTATTAATAGACTTTGAAATTCACAAAAACATTAAGTGCAGCTCTTGTAAACCTTCCTTTACTGCTGTTTACAATAGTTTACAACAATTTACAACAAATGCTGTTGTAGCTTTGGATAAATCTAATTTTCTTCATTCAAAAGAATGATCTTTTTCTTATGCATTTGTCCTAGATGGTTGTTGGCCTGCTTGTTTTTGCATGGAACTTATCTAGATTTTAAGGCAAAGATATCAATGTGTAATGCCTCAAATTATTTAATCAGCCGTCTTGCTTGGAGCCGCATACAGATTTGCGCTGAAGACTGACTGACCTTAGAATACCGAGCTGCTTTCCATGTTTAAGGGAGGACTAGAAGCTGTCCCTTTCCACCCCTAAATTAGCACTATAACCACTCTATCATGGTGGCTTTCATTTCCAAGTGATTTTTTTTTCAAAATCATTTTCATAATTAAATTCTAAAAAAAATAAATTTTCCCTATTAAAAATCACCCCATGGACACCAAGTTTATTGTACACATATGGAAACTAAAAATAAATGGATCTAACACCAAAAAACTAAGCAAAAATAGAAGAGGGGAGGCTTATATTTCTAATAATCAAACATACAAAAGGAACCATAGTCTATACATTCCTTGATCCCCAAACTTCAGGACCTCAAGCAGGAAGGGCAATAAGAATACTCTAATCCACACACACACAAAAGGTTCACAGCTGTTAAACTGCAACCCTTCAGTGGAATCTCAGCATCTAATGGTACTATTTTTAAGACTCCTGCAGCCATTCAATATTGTGCCAAACCTTGGGCAGTTATGATTTTTAAAATTATATTGATTTAATGGCCTAGTACAATTATTCAATATTTTAATTTTGATCAATTATTACATTTAATACTTAAACTTTCCAATCTGTGATGAATATAGATGTATCAATTCATCAACAGCTCTTACACCATTCAAAATTCCTGTAAAATTGTCCCCTAATCCTCCAAAGTGTTCAACATTTATTTGCTGTCCATTCCAATGACATCACTAGCCATGCCTCTTGCGGTTCTCACACCTTGTTCTAACCCTTTATACAAAAATACAATGGATCTCAAGAATAGAAAGTAAAAACGCACCATAACCTATTCTAAAATTAGCAGTCAGAAATACATAGTCTGCAAAATAACATTTAAAAGATTTATGCGTTTATACAGATGCCCATCATGTATTTTCCATGTCAACATCTAAATAAGGGAGGCCAACCTGATGGTTTAGATCCAGAATCCACATGATTGGAATTCATGGAGATCCTGGTGGGCAGGACACATTCAAAAGGAAAAAGGAAATTTTGTTCATTCCTTTCTCCCAGAGCAGCTCTGCAACGACTAAAAAAATGTTCTGGAGGTATTAAAGATTCCAACATTGGGGGGAATTTTATCTAAGGAACAGAGACAAAAGGTATCTTTGGGAACCATTGATTCCAGTGCCTGGATTAGTCCCTTTAGTTTTTGGAAATGGTTTCCCATTGCTTGCTTCCTAGAACTCAGAGAAAGTGCCTGGTCCAAGGTCACACAACTATTTTTGTGCACAAGGAAGTTATGGTCTCCCGGTTTCTAGTCTGGTGTTCCAACCACTATACCAAATTGTCTCTCTCTGGAATCTCATTTCTTTCAACAGTGCAATGCAATTTCCTCAACAGTAGCGGGAACTAAACTACATTTTCGCAAAGGGAAGCAATTATTCCTTTTACAGAATAGCAATTCTGTTCCTTCCTTGTATCAATTAAAGGGAAGGAAAGGGGAAAAGGTTTTTTAGTAAGAAATAACTTGTATTTCAGCAGCTGTAAAACTTAACCTACTCACTATAAAACTCACTGTATATTACTTGTTATGAACTGCTCAAGTAAAACAATCCAGATTTTCATTTAGTTATGCAGCATAGCGATATGACTAGAGTGTTGTTCTGTGTCAACTTCAACATCTGGCATCAAACCATAAAAGAGGTGAAAATGTTATCAAGTACATTTTCCTGGCAAAGTTACAGAAGGGCTTGTATTGCTTTCTGGGATGGGTTCTCAACTCTCTCCATCTATTACTCCAGAAACAATGATATTATTATAAAATAAAGAGGTAACATATACAAAGCATTGTTGGAAGCAGGGTGGATTTGATTTAAATCAAGTCGATTTAAATCACAATTTAAATCACTAATAAAAAGGCTTGATTTAAATCAACTCAATTTAAATAATAATTTTTAAATAACAACTGTCATCTCTGTCCGGCAGTGGCTCCTCCTCTGACCCGCTGTTGACTCACCAACAGTCCCATTCACTTTAATGGGACGGCTGGTGATGCGGCAGTGACACAGCAAAGTGAGGACATGGAAGGCAGCAGGTGAGTGGATGCCCGCTAACAGGCGTTGCCATGATGGATTTGAAATGACAGGTGCTTTTTAATATTATATTTATAAGCTGCTTAGAAGATTTCACTTTCATTTTTACTGCTTGCCCTTCCTCCTCACACTTAAGAGCCTGGTGGTACAGATGCATTTCTCTTCAAACAATCATACAGTTTGTAGTGTACATAGATTTGCAAAACAATGGGATAAAGGAATATTCCTGAACTTCATTTTATGATTTATCTCATGGTTACTGTGAATGCATCAATGCAGTGCATGTCATCTCAGCTTGCAGAGCTTGGATTCCTTGAATGAGTTTACCAAAAAAGTAAATATTGCAGAATATACAGCCTCATGCTACATAACTAAGCTCCATTTCATGCTGAGTAAACTAAATTATTAATGTATCTTAAATAGAAAACTATCTTTTGATAAGATTTTTACTCCAAAAGCATTTTATTAAAATAAATTCGATAAAAACAAAAAAAATCCGATTTAAATTTAAAAAATCCATTTTTTTTGAATTTTGTAAAAAAAAGCATCCATTTTTAATCACCCTGATTGGAAGTACTTTATAAACACCTCAACACCTGACCTGTGAGCCACATCTGGGACCACTGAAGTCTTTGGGCTTTTAAGGCACTACCAGAACCCATCCTGCCTCATTGTCTTGTCACATGTGCAGGTGCCATGAGAGCCCATGATGACTGTGCTGGTGAGCAGAAGGAACACTGCCTGTGATGTCACCATTTGTCTGTACTAGCTGCCTATAGCTTTGAAAGCAGAGCAACATAGCAATGAGATATGGGACAACAAACAAGTGGGGAGATTGCAACCAGGGCAATACAGCATTTTACTGTATTATTATAAGCAATGTAGTTTTGCTTTTAGCAACAATTACTGTCCTTTAGTTTTTGTACTGTTTGTAAACATACATATTATTAATAAAAATAATATTTATTGCATTTTGCATATGTTCAAATACTGGCCACTAATTAGCTCATTTTATGCAATATGGTCCTCAGATTCATTTGAATTTCAAACTCTTGGTATAAGGTACCAGACCAGAATCTTGAGACATGTCAAGTATATTGATATTGCAGCCCTACTAGAACTCCAATTTTATAGCATTTCTCAATTCAGTTGCAAAGGTGGCATTCTCCCATTCAATGTCATAACAAGATACTTGAAATCTCAAATAACAGGTTGATAAATTCATGTTCTGGCATATTGGAAGCATTGACTTGCCCTTTATAATATGAAATGATACCATTATCAGCCTTCCTGCAATACTTTTAAGGATCTTTGTTTTCTTTAAGATTTTTTAAAAAAAAAACCAAAATAAATACCTGAATAATATGTAAACTTTTTCTCTGAATCAACTTCCCCACAAAAGGAGATAACAAAGCAATGTGTTTTGCAGATGTTCTCCACACATCTTTAATTCTTTCTGGCAAAATACGTTCAATATATATATATATATTCAAAAGCTATGTTCAGCAACAAGAAAACCAGGCTGCTGAAATTAATCTTAGTAAACAAATGTCAACCTGCTTTTTGACTAGAGGACTATTCTGATCAGTCAATGCTAATTAAATGCCCAGACATGTTTACCTACCTGATATTTAAGGTTTCAGCCCTTTCCAGATCCACAGAATATGCTTTAAACTGAGAAATTTTCATCAAAATCTTAAACTGGAGAAAATGTCTCAACAGATATTTATCTTTTCATTTTGCATTTGTCATGCACATTCTGAAAAAGTGAAAATAGTAAAATATATCATCAAGCTATAATGGTGCGGTAGATTTGCTCTCAGATAAAATAGTGGCTTGGATTCAAATGTGTGTGTAATGGCAGCTCAGTAAATCAATGATACATAAAATTAATCACAACAATGGCTTTTAAATCAGTTATGATTAAAATGCATGTGTTTTAATGGATCTAATCACATACACAATTTTTTAAACCTGGCATATTATATTTTCTTCGGTTTTTTTCACTTCTCTCTCTCTTAGTCAAATGTAGGTGTGTGCGCACACACACACATATCACAATGCTCACTTTCAAGATTAATAGTATTATGCAGAGTGCAAAGGGTTGACAAGAGAAAATATAGTTAAATTTAAATACTGATAAAGACTTTCACAGCTGGTATCTGTTGGGCAACGTTGGACTTCAGGATTTAGTGACCGTGGACTAGACAATAGATTTCATGATGTTTCCTACTGAGTAAAAAGAGTACTGGTCAGTACTGACCTATTTTGGTTAATATGTTACAAGCATAACTAAAATTCAGTGTAATCCCAAATTAGGTATCTAACGTAGGAAATATTTTGGAAACCAATGTATTGTTATCTGTATTTTACCAGTTGTAAACAGGGAACATACTGACACAAGTATAAGAATATAAGGAAGTTTATTCCACATATTACAGTGTCTAGACCTGTGTCCAGGTATGCAAGGACTTTACATATATACAATCTGACTGATTGTTCCTCAAATAAACACTACAAAGAAACATTAATCAGAAGACATGAAAAAGCCACATACATAAGTACACATATATACACATTACAACATTGTTTTCAGTTTATTGAGCTGTTAAAGTTTGAACTTTGCTAAAGTATTAAGAATGACTAACATCTTTCTCCACAGATACTGACCTTTTCACTTGTTTGTCGTCTTTTCTTCAGCTGAAAAAGATTTGTTTCTACTTTTTCAGCCAGCTCTAGTTTCCTCTTGTTCCTTTTAAAAGCCGCTAAGCTAAGTCCTGTAAAACATTTAATAGAGTTTACATTTCTGAAGAACTAAAGCTATTAACTTTAATAAATTCTTCTGTCTTTTATCCAACAAACTCAAGCGTATATCCCGCATCCGTCTATTGATCTAAATATTCCTTAACTAGCAATACAATCTTATACAATTTTAACCAAAAGAGACATCGCCTTCAGACAATCAGAAAAAAGGAGGAAGACATGTGATCCTGATATATGTAATTTCACAAAATTAGGACATGAACAGTGCCGTAGTTGATACACTCAAGAAAATAAAAGTTAATTGAGCAGATAATAACCACAATCTCAATGAAATGAACTGGTTAGTAAGACTCTGAATTCTTCTTCTCCAGCCTTCATACATTGAAATGGTAAATGGATGCTCTCAAAGGCAATCTCTAATAACCCTTTCAGCTCTAATTATGGACATTTATCTGAGTGTTGCAATTTTAATAGGGCCATTAAGAAATTGTTACTTCCACTAGATACAAGATTGCCTGCCAACTTTTAAGGATCTGAATTGTTACCTTGCCCTCTTTAGAGAAACCCTTCCCAGACTAAAATTATAATGTGTACATGCCATTGCAACTGTTTATCTTTTCTCAAGTATTTTTCTCTTATCAAAAGACAAAGAAATTCAGCTAGGAACCATAAGCATCTACCACTTAGACACTGAAGAGATCCCTCTTTGCCAGGTTCTTAGCATATATCATCATGCATCATCAGGTGCTGCCTTGAGATCAGTGGAGACTTTCCTAAATCTTTATTATTGAATAAGTGTGTTTTGCTCTCTTCTCTCAACACTTCCAGTTTTTTCTCACAAATATCTAGGTAAACAACCCTGTTTAGTCTTTTTGAGTCAGCATCTTGTGGTGTTAATAAAATCCTTAAAATGCAATTTCCTTGAATTGGGACAAACTTAAGGTTTTTAATTTACTTGAATAGCTGCTCCCTATAAAGTTGCCTATTTTCCCAAGCAATCAAACTGCACTGCAGTTTTATGCAACTTTCAGTAATAGTCATCAATCTGTAATATCTATAAACCATGAAACTTAAATGACTTTAAGGGCATTCCCTTCCCCCATGAGTAAAGTGATGTCATTCCATCTTCAAAGAATGATTCTCTGGATAAGAGACTTGCTGTTTAAACTCAGGTATTCACTGACTGCTTTATAGATATAAACAAGTCAAACATTTTATTCTATAATGAATAAAACAATTTGGAAAACTGCCTTTTGGTGAAAAATAAACACAATCACACAAAATCTTTGTACTGAGATAAAAGCCTACTATTTCACTACAGAATATGGAACTTAATGTCTTGATTAATTCAACAGAATCATGCTGCAATGTTTTTCCAAGATCCTCAAGCCCAATTAACATCAGATGGAGTATGTCCTTAGATGATACATTTTCTTTTAATTTTTGAATGCTGCAATTTCTGGTGCCAATTCATATTAATCTATCCTTTTGCACACTATCTGTGCCATATAAAGGAAGAGGTGCATTGCTACCCTGTTTCCCTGAAAATAAGACCTCCCCGGATAATAAGCCCAATCGGGCTTTTGACAGCAAGCGCTAAAATAAGCCCTCACTGAAAATATTTAAACACATGCACAGCCGGTCCTCGCCATTTCCTCTGGTTAGGGTTAGGGAGAAAGAGCTAGAAATCAGGTAAGTTGGCAAGAAGAGCCCCATCTTGCTCCACGCACCCCAAAATAATGCACCTCGAAAATAAGGCCAAGGGCTTATTTTGGGGTTCAAAAAATTATAAGACAGGGTCTTATTTTGGGGGAAACATGGTAGCAAATGCTAGTGCTTATATCAGTAATTGATGAGAAAGGGAATAAGCTCTTGATGTTCTCAGCAGAGTTACTAAGTGGTCCTGTAAGAGTATTGCCTAGGTACATATACAGATTTGACATCAGGGCCAATTGCAGCGTTGAATCTTATGTCTCTGTCCTTGTCATGGAGCTTGTTATACCTAGTTGGAACATATTTTAGGTTGAGTAGTAGTGTAAATAAGTACTTTGCCTCAGGAAATAGATCAAGAAATTCTCTGAACAGACTTCCATCTTGTTTCAGTTGCTTTCGTTGCATTCCTACCAAGGTGGCTGTCTTGTGATACTGCTCCCAGCCTCATATGCCAAATACACAGAGCTTAAATCATTTGAAGAGGAGGTGTCATCTTCTCTGCACTCTACTCAATGGAAAATTGGTTATCTGCTAGGGTGCCATTTCTATTTTTCTAGATGCCACTATATTGGGATTTCTCATTGTTTACCCACCCAGCTGCGAGGCAGACTTTAATAGATTGTAGGAAAAAGGTGAGGTGAACCATATCATCAATGTTAGCTCTCCTATACAGATCATCAGAGTCTATATGGAGAGGGGGGAAAAATGAAAGGTTGGCACAAGCTTTGAGAGGAATAGAATTCAGCACTTTCCTATTTTGGCTTAAAGCAGGAGTGTCAAGCTAGCAGCCCATGGGTTGGATGCGTCACGCGCAGGCCATGCCCACCCCAGCTTCGTGAAGGGGGAAAACGTCATGATACATCATGTGACAGCAACATGATGCCGCGAGTTTGACACCTGTGGTTTAAAGGAAGACAATGGCCTCTAATTTTGTCCCAGATTGAATTTAAAAGCTCTGCCAATGCAGCCTGCAACTGCTATTTCTTCTATATACTTGATCTTTCTTACAGGGCTATTTTCCAAAATTCTACTTGAAACAATATATATTTTTCTGTGTTCCTCTACCTTTAATGCACTCAACTGAATAAATGTTAAGAAATGCAATTCAGATTCATTTTATCCGCAGTATACTGAAATCTAACAGAAGAAATTCAATTATAAATTTAACGTTAGAAATCATGAACGATCACCCTGCCTATATTATTAACAGCATTAAAGCAATTATACTTCTAGAGTTGTGCAATATAACTATTTAAAGTATCTTAGCAAATTAAGGGTAACCACAAAAAAGGGGGCATATATCTAATCCTCAGTAAAGCAGTCCAATTCCGATCAATCATAGAGCACCCCCTGGCAGTCATTTTTGGTGTATGCTGAAAAGGCTCTAAAGATGAAAAAATATGACATTCTCTTTCAAAAGGAAATGGGGAAAATAGAACTACATAGAAAACATTATATATGACAATTACTTTACAATTAATGCAGTAAAAAATATTTTTATCGCAACTATAAACTCATAATGCCTCTGTACCAATGAGAAATTTAAATATTTTAAGGTAATATAATGGTACTCTCTTGTTTGCTAACATTTCAGTAGGTTTGTTCCAAAATGACAAGATTCCAATCTCAAAACTGTTTTGATGCAGCAAACACCAGAGAATGATTCTTGATTAACTGTTCGAGTAATATCACATTCAATTTAAAGTGGAAAATCAGGGAAGATACAATCTAATGCAAGAAACACTAAAACAAGACCTTATTTTTCTCTTCTCTTATACAATTACCATGATGTAAGGAGATAAAGTGAAAAGACCAAACATAATAAAATAAAGTTATAAATAAAGTTATTAGAGAAAATTAACAGCTAATTTGATATCCATTTATGCTGAATGCTGTGGGTATAGTTAAATACTTTTGAGATGGGACATTCTACAATGAAAAGATTTTTAAATACTCAGAAAAGATGCAGTCATAAATTAGAAATATATTCTATATCAACTTAAAAATAGTTCTATATATGGTTTAAATAAATTATACAAATTATATGCAAATAAATCATTATTATTATTGTTGTTGTTGAAAGTTAAAATTTCCCAAACATAAATAGCAATGACACTTTCAATAATATCAAACAAAATATTTATTTTACAGTAGTTGTAACTTGTCTCATCCCAAATGAAGGGCTCTAAATGAAGACAAGATATTTAATCTTCATACTTGCGGTGTTTTAAAGATCTATAACATACAACTGTAAAGCTTACGTTTTTTTCCTTTCTATTCTTGCAAGCCTGTGATCTTCAAACACTCTCTTGATGGTAATTGAAAAATATGCTCTATATTATCCATAATTTAACTTCAAGCTGAATAAATCACCACTTCTGCTCAAACGTCACCAGTGATAATTGTAATAATTAATTATTCATTAAATGTATATGCCGCCCAACTCTCAAAGACTCTGGGCAGTTAACCATCATTAGAAACATTAAAAACAACAAAAAAGTTCAAACATGGTGAGATAACAAATCCAAATGGGAACATAGAGAAAGAAGAAAAGGGGGTTTTGCTCACACTCATCAAAGGCCAGTGTGAAAAGCCAGAACTTCAGGACTCTTCAAATTACCAGTTCTATGGGGCTTTTTTGATCTCAGAGGAACTTCACTCCAGAAGACAGGTGCTACTACAAAAGTGGCTTCCAGAGTCCAGAAAGATGGCATTGTTTAATTGAAGGAACCTGGAGCACAAATCAACTCTGCCAGATCAAATTGGCCATACTATAGGTAGATACTATGGCAGACAAGCAGTCCATCAAGTAACCAGGTTCTGTGTCATGTAGGCCTTTATAGGTAGCAACCAGCAGTTTGAATTTTAATATTCAAAAACTTCCTTATGAATATCACTATAATGGCTTTGAAATAATAGTTATGGTGAATTTCCGTATAAAAAGGCTGATGTAACTATGTCCATTGGTATGAATAGTACCTAAAGAAATCCATTTCACTGGTTTCCGAGTGTCCCTTGAACACTTTCAATAGTAATCTATATAAATAAAAATGTAAATGTCCGTTTGTACATAACCGTACATTTCCGAAAGTTCTTCACCGATTGCTTTCAAATTTTGACACAATGTTGCATTCGACTACGGGTGTGTTTATATATACCTATATTATATACATGTCACACCTGTGACAGGTAAAAACATGAAAAACATTGGAAAACATTGAAAGACATTGACAAACGTTGAAAAACAGTGTCATCTGTTGGACGTATAAAATCAACATGGCAGCCTCCCAGCCCTGATTACGCTCAACAGATTTCTGCTCCTTATATTTAGACTCTCCATATTACTTCCAAGAAACTGCGCATTTGGAAGGCAGAGACACCCGAGGGCCATATCCTGCCACCAGGCTCAGCAGGTAGGCAGCCGGCTCCCCGCCGGGAAGCCCTCGCAGCCGGCGCTTCTAGGGCTGGGCGGGGCCCGCATGACCCTGGCTCTGACCTCCCCCTCCCCCAGCCGCCCCGCGAACTAGCATCGCCCACCGCTGCTGCCCATCCCCCTCACCAGCCGCTCTCGGGGTTCCCTCCAAAGAACACCTGGCAACAAGGCTGCCTGGGTCCTCCGAGCAGGAACCCTCCGTCCCTCGTCTGGCCCGAATCATGCCTGGCCCAGCGCTACCACGGGCCCCGAAGACCAGCCGCTAACCGGCGCTATGCAAATCCTGTCGGTGAGCGGGAGATGGAGGCAACTGGAGCCTCGGGGTCGCTTTTGACCAGCACCGCCTTTGATTCCCAGGTGGGTGCTCTGGCAGTTCATGGAGCCTACACGAAAATTTCGGCCTCTGGCAGAAAAGGGGCTCCGGGGTGGCAATGGCCAAGAGGGAGGATGGCCGGTCCTCCTTCGTTTCACCTGGAAGAGCGGGGGATTTAATCATTCCCCTGCCCTTGGCAGGCGGGGGAGGAGAACTGCGCAGCAGGGGTCCAGTGGGGTGTGCATGGCTCCTGGCTTTGCCGTTTTCTTCCTTCAGGCGGGAAGCCCCAAACCAGCCTCGAACCCCCGTCGCACCCCCTCCCTCCCTCCCTTCCCTTCCCTGCTATGCATCTCCTCATTGAGCCCCCAGAGAACATCTGTGTAGGGAGGACGGAGGGGCCCCCCGAGTTTCTGCTGTGGTGCAGAAAGCTGCGAAGGCCTGGCCTCAAAAAGTAAGGGTGATGGCGGGGGATGCAGAAGAGGCCGGGCCAGAGACAGAGATAAACAGAGAGAGAGGGAGAGAGAGACATAGAGAAATACAGAGAGATGGGGGGGAGAGAGAGACACATACAGAGATACAGAGAGAGATGGAGGGAGAGAGAGAGAGACAGAGAAATACAGAGGGGGGAGAGAGAGAGACAGAGAGATACAGAGGGGGAGAGAGAGAGAGACAGAGAGAGATACAGAAAGAGGGGGAGAGAGAGATACATAGAGAGATACAGATGGGGGAGAGAGAGAGACATAGAGAGATACAAAGAGAGAGGGGGAGACAGAGAGGGAGGATTCTGTGGTTCCCATTGTTTTTTAGCAACCGGTTCTCTGCCCTAATCACCAGCTGGCTAGGCATGGCTCGGGGGCTGTCATGTGACTGATGAAAGTGAGTGACGTCGAGTTGGCCACGCCCACCAAATGTTCATGGAGAGTTTGGAACTTCAGCCTCATTCTTTTAGCTCAGTGGAAGCACCAGACTGGGCCACAGCAACGTGTGGCCACGTACAGCTAATTTCTAATAAAAAGATACTCACTTGTTGCCATGACACCTGGAGGACAGGCTGATATCCCATGATCCACTGCCCATCTGAAGGCTCCCTCAGCAACTAAGAAACTACAAAATAGGAGAGAACAAACAAGTGGCTAGGAGAAGACACTGACAGGAAATATTTTCATAACTTTCACTATAATGGCAAAATATTTAGTAGAATTGTTCTAATTAAATCAAAGCAGGAAATGACAGAAAACACAATATTCTTTACAGTGTTAAATGATGCACCTCATCCTAAACAGGATTATTTCAGAAATAATCTGATTATCACTGGCATCTACTCTTCTTAATAATCCCACAATCTAGGCCACATTTTTGAATCTGTGAAGAAATACTACAGGTCCAAAATACTTAATTGAGATGCAAATTAAATTTTATTGGTGTTGAAAGGAGCAGCTTTCACATGCCTTGGCTTCTTGGCTTTCCAAAAACCTTTAAATAACATCTATACTGAAGTTCCCAGAAAAACTAGGAACTCAATGCTTACAGCGATTCCGTAGGACTACCAAGAAATTTCAAGGCATTGACAAAGCAGATGGATTTCAGGTTTTTCACATGCTATAGTAAAATAGCAGCCATTTTTTAAAAGATTTTCTGTAATGCAGTCTCATTAGAATTGGATATTCAGAAAAAAAAATTCCTCATACTTAGAATACCTCTCTAGAAAATAGTCATAGTTATAGTTTATGTTGAATTGTTTATGAAAAGTAAATCAGTTTAAAAATATTATTTCCAGAATAAAAATTATCATGACTTCAATCTCAAACCAGCCAATTCTTGAAACATGTGTTTTGCTTTGAACTTGGAACATTCAAAGAGCCTCTTTGAGTGTTCCAAGCTCAAAACAACATATGCATTCCAAGAGTTTTGTTCCAAGGTAAAATATGCTAATTTAAAATATTTAAATCTGCCAAATTTGTTGCTTGTAAAGGAGTCTTTGCTGACCTTACAGAGAAAATTAAAGTTACAGAGAAAATGACCAATGAATTGAGTATTTTTAAAAATGTTACAGGAAGGAATACAGAAAATACAATTTCTGTCTGCCCGGATAGCTCTGTTTATTTCCAAATCAAAATGTGTTACCTAAACAGAAAATGGCTGAAATTGTAGCTATGTCACCTTGTTAAAATGTTGATTAAACACCACAAGTTCTGAAAAGATTCTGGGGTATGGATTGATATATTTTTTTGTTTCCTGAAAGGAATTGCTAATGTTTATTCCTCCCAATCTCAATTTAAATAAATTACTTTGATCAAGTTTGGGTATCTGTCATCTACTTGGTTTTGAGCCCTACAGTGTGAAAGGTATAAGTTTGTTCTGGTACCCATTATTTTTGATGTGAATATAGGGTGATGTTCAAATTTGGTTCTGTTGGAATACTTGAACCTTTTCATTAGTGTGTCAAAACACAGCCAATAGAGAATGTTCTGATGAAATGTTTAGCAAGGCTATTTTGTTCTGCATTCAAAATGAAATATATTTTCCATTTTGTCTATACCCTTAAATGGAAGCATATGTTAAATTTTATAAATCTGGAAGCGAGAGTAGATGAAGAAATCTATGTTTTCAAATCAATATTTAGTTTTGACATTTACTGGACTCAAAGCTTAAACATCAGAATAGAAGCTTTGCAATTGTGTAAATATATATATATATAAACAACCACAATGAAAGAAATTATAAGTAGAAATATTATCCTTAATTCTCAATTCTATTTACAGCCATAATGAAAACATAAGATGTTCCAAGACCAATAAACTAATCCAGCCCTCATCTAAATAGCATGTTATTGCTATTTTTTTTTTAAAACAACAAGCTTCTGTCAATAAGAATAACTTTCAAAAATTGCATTACAATGAAGGAGGAGGAAGAAACAGTAACAACAAGAAAAAGCAGAATAAAGTAATTACCAAGGCGGAATTCTGCCAGCAGATAGTTTTCCCTTCTGCCCTTCACATAATAATTTATTTGCCACGGAGACAGGATTTTTGATTCCTGAAAAACAGAGTTCATCTAAGACAACTGCAACATTGCGTTACAGACAAATTTGCAATACATTAAACATATTCCTTAATTACTTTTTTTTCAGATTTTAATGTTTGAAAGAAACCGATACTAACTAATAAGAAAAAAATTGATGAGTTTATTGAGCGAATCCTATGTTTAAATGATGATCCAAATCATATCACCCATACTAGGAGCACTTTTCTCAACAAAAACAAAGGATGAGTTCATTTGTCAATACTAAAGATCAGAACATAGTTTTTTCTTTTGTAAAACAAACTGAACACACAATCATAAACATATGAACAAATATCATTTTCTCCAAATGAATATTGCAATTTAGAATGTTTCCCATGTTAACTTACATTATAAGAGAATGTTTTACATACTGTATTTTTCGGAGTATAAGACACATTTTTTCCCTCCTAAAAGAGGCTGAAAATTTGGGTGCGTCTTATACTCCAAATGTAGCTTTTTCGAAGCTTTTTTTCAGTCCTAACAAGGTGCTAGCAAGTGAAGCAATCTCTGTACTTTGCCTGCTCCCTCCGACTCTCAGCTGTGAAGCTTTACTAGCAGTGCTTTAGAAACTGTTTTTTATCCCCAAGCAGGGATAAAAACCAGCAAACTAATGTGCTGAAGCTGACCAGACTAAGGACGCTAGCCAGGTGAATACCTGATAGGCAGATTTTTCCCCCCCTATTTTCCTCCCCCAAAACTAAGCTGCGTCTTATACTCCGGTGCGTCTTATACGCCGAAAAATACGGTATATATATCAGTGGTGAAATCTATTTTTTTTTGCCACCAGTTCTGTGGGCGTGGCTTGGTGGGCATGGCTTGGTGATGGTCATGTGACTAGGTGGGTGTGGCCTTTTTTTTTTGTTTTACTTTTTAAAGCATTTTTAACTAGTAAAAAATGTTTTAAAAAGTAAAAAAAAAGTTTCCGATGATCAGCACTTGACCAGCCTGGCCCCCCTCGCCAAGCCAGATCCAACGCCTCCTAGCCCCAGAGATTGCAAGCCTTTCTACTTCGGCCACCCAGTCTGGGAGATGACCAGGGGGGGGGTGCTCAGCTGCTCCCCCTTTTCACTCACCCTGAGCTTCCTGTTGCGGATTTTCATGCCTTGCTTCACGTTCCCGGGATTGTCACCCTCGTCTTCTTCTTCCCTCCTCCTCTCCAAGTGCAAAAATGCCAGGAACAAGTGCAAAAAGAAGCGCTTGCTTGCTCCTGGACTTTTTCCATTTGTAAGGAAGCTTTCGTACCTGTGAAGGCAAGTCTGGCTTCCTGTGCTAAAAATCTCACCAGTACAGCTGTGCGTGCGGCGTGTGTGTGTGTGTGTGTGTGTGTGTGTGTGTGTGTGTGTGTGTGTATGTCGGGCATGGGCTGCTGCGAAGACCAGGAGCAAAGACACACACACACACACACACACACAGAGGCTTTAAAAGACCTTTGAATGAAGTCGGGGGTGGATTGGAAGTCATTTCCCTCCCCTTCTCTGCCTCTGCACCGACATTCAGTGCAGCACATACACACACAGGCTTTAAAAGATCTTTGAATGACTTGGGGCTCCTTCAGGTTGGCCTCCAAAGAAAAGAGGAATGAAGGCAGGGATGGATTGAAGGGGTGAATTCTCCAACTCTGGTTCAGCTGGCCGGGGATGGGACAGCAGGCACAGGTTACTTCAGAAGACCAGGAGCAAAAAGACACACACACACACAAACAAGCTGTGTGCACAGCAGTAGTGGTGAGGTTGTTAGCGAGCAGCACAGGAAGCCAGACTTGCCTTCACAGGTACGAAAGCTTCCTTACAAATGGAAAAACGTCAGGAGCAAGCAAGCACTTCTTTTTGCACTTGCTCCTGGAGTTTTTCCACTTGGAGAGGAGGAGGAGGAGGAAGAAGACGAGGGCGACAATCCCGGGCATGTGAAGCAAGGCATGAAAATCCACAGCAGGAAGCTCGGGGTGAGTGAAAAGGGAGAGCAGCCAAGCGCTTTGTTTGTCTGGAACCGGTAGAAAAAAATGCTTAAAAAGTGGGGGGAAAAAAAAAAAGTTCCGACGATGGGGCATTGCTCAGTTGATCGTCGGAACTCTTTTTTTTAACTTTTTAAGCATTTTTTTACTATCAATTCTCTGGAAGTAAAAGCAGGAAGTAACGATGACTGGGCGGGTGGGCGGAGCCTCATGCCGCCATCGCTACTGGTTCTCCGAACCACCGGCCATCATCTCTACCAGATCGGCCGGTCCGGTCCGAACCGGGAGCATTTCACCCCTGATATACACTATTAAAGTGATACATATTCAAGAATTCTATCTACTTTTGCTGTATTCATTTTCAAAGATATACAAAAATAAGTGCAATATAATCCTTTACAGTATTAGTATGCTCCAAAAACAGGTGTATTCAGCCAAAACAAAGAAAAACCAATTGCCATCCTGATTATCTAAAGCCACACTTATTTCAATTGGAAACTTTCCACTGATTTAATATTTCTTCCATGTTCTAGATTCAGACTACTATATTTTTCTGCTTGTCTCTATCATAATAGCATACCTACTTCAGGAAATTTCAAGTACCATTCATTAATGCCAAGAACATTTCAAATGTGTTTGTTTTTTAAAAATGGCCAAGGAACATGAACATTGTGATTCTAGGCAGTGCACAAAAAATTCAAAATTAAGCAACAGCTGGCAATAACAGTAATAATCACTAGTATGTGACTTGGCTCATATTTCTATCCTTTATCAACTTACTTATCTTGGCCTCAACGTGAGATTGGTTGTGACATGACTAAATATATAGTCAAATATCATTCTGATATCAATGTTACACCTTTGAGAGCCTATTCTACATACCACTGAGAGCTCCCACTGCTCCAAAATTTAGTGATTTTCCATCCATAATACTGGCATCACATTCAATTTCACCTAAGAGGTTTAGATTAGATCCCATTCCTGCATTTGTAAAGGGTGAATCCTATAAAGAAATTTAAAGAAAAAACATATAAACAAACATCTATGCTATCACAAACAAACAACTTGGGTCAAATTATTGTTATTGAGCCAATGTGTTGCCAATTTTCAGCCCACTAATTTTAATTCAGGATTCCCTATAGGAAACAGAAGAGGATAGGAGAAGGAAAAAACAGAAAAGAGAAAAACAGAGTGCAAGTGAAAGCAAAACTGTAAAGAGGGAAAGGGAGAGGATGTTTTGAATTGATACACATTTACTCATCTGAGATACAGATATTACAAATACATGCTCTGGGTTTTCTTTAAAAACCCATTTTTACCATTCCATTTTCATCTACGCAATATAGATAGTGAGATCCATATTGTTGTCACACATGCAGTTAAGGGAGAGGATACCAAGTGAAGAGCCTGCCAGATGGCAACAGTAACTGCCAAACAACTTCACAAAAGCAAGAGGAGGAACAAGGATGGTTAAGGAGGTATGAAAAATCCAATCTTTTACTTTATGAACTGAACCATGTGGCTATAGTCAAAAATTGTATATAAGTACTGGATACATAGAAACTAGTTCCAAGATCTGTACGCACACAAGCACACACATCATTCATCAGGGGCTTCGTTTTTCTCCTTCCTAAAGGAGATACACATCCACAATACACAGAAAGTACCTGTGAAGAGAAACAAAAGGAAACTCTACTGCTTATTGAAGTTTCAAAATAAAAAATGGCTTTTGCTAAATGAAATCTAACCACAATTTCTTTAGAATCAGGAGAAAACAAAATTATTCAAGCAATCCCCTTTGGATCTACCCTATATGGGTATGAAAACAATTTTCAGATATGCACATAAAATAATTTATGTGCATAAATTTGCTGAAGTATACGGATACGGCATACGAAATGAATGTCTGATACTACACATTGTATGAAAATCTCTCAAAATTTAGACTCTAATGTAAATTGGAGATGAGAGCATTGTGCAAAATAAATACATTATTTTTGATTGAAGATGCAAATATTGGTTAGAATCTTCATTGCTTTATATGCTGCTCCATTTACATGTCAGGGGGCTTCAATTTATTCTTCCACCTCCAATGACAGTATCAAGGATGTTAATTCTATAATATGCCAAATCCAGGAGGAAGAAAAGGGTGTTTTGTAAAGCACACTGGGTTTCACAAATGCAGATACATCTGAAATTGCTTTTTCCCTCGTGGTCTGCAATCTTCAGAGGGACAACCCATGAGATATGAGCAGCTGCTGCTAGAAGAAAATATTCTTCCTCCTTGATTCATAAGAAGTGCATGCAGGACTTCCGGTGGTGCTGTCGGGGCGGTGCAGAGGGAAAAGGATGAGCTCCATCCTTTGACTCTGACTTTTTCATGCATAGGGACCCTTCGAAGGCGTGTTGAGCTTGGAGAGCCATGAGAAGCAGAGGGGAAGCCCAGTGGTCAGCGAGGCGGTATGCAACTGCACACTGGACTGAGGGAAACCCTTAACCCAGCACGAATGTGTCCTGTCATCTCTTTCTGACATGGCGGATCCAAGGCCGTGACAGCTCACAAAAGAATTGGAAGAAAATATTATTTACAGACTGTGCCCATTTTTTCTTATGAGGAACTCCCATATGGGCAGAGATTGGAATTGTCGAAGTGAGTAATCTTAAATTATTTGGCAAAGCAGAAGGAAACTCCGGCAGAAAACTAGCGATGACTTAAAGGGATGAAACCATGACTCATTAAAATAAGTGCCGAGAAGGAGGAACTAAAAAAAGAGAGAGAGATTGGAAAAAGACTGTAAATGCGAAAGTGAGTGGGAGAGTGCTAGACAATGGAGGAAGAAAAGGAGAGAGGAGAAAGTGGAATACACATTTTGACAACTAATAAGAAAATTGGAGGTTAGCAAAAGACGATCCGAGATAAAAGGCAAATGGGCAACCAGGGAGAATACGAGAGGCAAGGAGAGAGTCTGAAGTGAAGCGGGGGATCTGACAGAGGTGCGAATGAATCAACTGGGGAGATTGGCATCTGGTGGAGGAGAACAGTGATACTTAACGATAAAATGAGAGGAGAAGAGAGAGGAACTGTAGTGACTAAGAGATCCGGACATAATACTGAACATTTAAGCAGAAAAGCCGACAGAGATAGAGTCGAAACGAAGAAGTGAACATTAAGATTATTGGAAAATCCAGAAGACTTGAATAGTTAAAATACAAGGTTCGTCCTCTGCAGACTGTCAAACAGATTTCCATATTGCAGACTGTGATTAATATTTTGGTAATAGGATCTTTTGAATTGCCTTTTCATGATATTGCTCTTGCAGTAAGAGAGTACCTACAAACATATAGATTGATATTAATAGTAACTTAGTAACTTAAGGCAGTTAGATTGTATTGAAGGTATTATACTTAATACAGATCTATTTATAACTAATATTTATTGGAAATAGATATTGACTATAGCTAACCTAGTTTAACTTAGTTTAATTAACTAAATCAATTCAATTGGTTGAACATAGAGGAATTATACTGAGTGATTTCTAGCTATATTGTATTGTATATTTTTATATCGAGCTATAGCCATAAATTTTTGGATAAGTAATTAACGATAATAGGAATAGAAACTAGAGTTTAAACTGAACAAAACATGAAAGAAGAAAGTACTATAATATCGATAGAGAAAGAAGATAGATATTGGAAAATTATAAGTATCATATAGGTGGTTTAACTAAATTTAGATAAAAGAAAGAAATATATACATTAAAATATCAATGAAGGATAAAAGGAAATTATTAGTAATGATAAAAGTAGTGGATGGTAATTTGGGAAAAGATTAATAAAATATTGGGAGAACAAAGTAAAATCTTAAAAGAAATGACAACTATTACTACCACAACACTGAGAGCAGGGAAAAAGGCAGCATCTAATCCAATGGTGGTGGCCGCTCCATCAACCTAGAGAACAATAGAAGGGATGCTGCCCATGGAAAAATCAAGCTCCAGTTTGACCCCCCAATCGATGCAGTCTACCCTTGTAATGATACAGGAAACTATGGTGAAACTCCAGGAGACGATGACCAAAAACCATGGAGAGATGAAAACTGACATACAAAACTTGGACAATAAAGTGGGCTCAATTTAAGAGACGATACAAAGGAATGAACAAAAAATCAAGTTGATGGAAATGAAAACTGAACAAACTGAAAAAAAGTTAGAACAGATAGATCAAAAAATGATGGCGATAAACAAAGACCTGGAAAATTCATTGATACACCTGGAAATGGATCGAGCCTCCTTTTATCTGAAGTTCCAAAATGTTGTGGAAACGAAAGAAGATGATCTAGGAGAGGTAATGGTGGGACTGATTGCAGAAGCACTTCAGAGAGACAAAAGAGAGATTATAAATGAGTTGGACGAAGTGTACAGAGTCCAAACCAACTATGCAAAATGCCACCATCTGCCTAGAGAAGTACATATCAGGTTTGCGTATAAGAAGGTCCGAGATATTATTTATAGAATTACAAGAGATGAACCGATGATATACCATGAAAAAGAGATTATAATGCTGAAGCAGGTCCCCAGACGGATTCAGGAATAAAGGAAGGATTACCGGTTTCTAGCATCCCTATTGAATAGAAAGAAAATATTATTTCGGTGGATCACCCCAGAGGGAATGTCGATAACTTGGCAGGGCAAGAGAATTTAAGTGGACGATCTAGATAAAGCCCAAGAACTATACGATCAACTGATGGGGATGGAGGAAGATTCAAGTAGTAGAGAGAAATTGGAGATACCTAATTTAGAAGAACAGACACAAGAATCCAGGGGTGAAAAAGTGGAAGAAAGAACCAAGGTGACAAAAGGGAACCAAGATGAAGAAAGGAGCACTAGGACCAGAGTACAAAGAAATACTAGAACAAATAAAAACTAGAGATCGGCAGATAACTAGAAAAAGGGAGAAAGAAACCCAACTATTGTCAATAAATGTAAATGGATTGAATGATCAAGTGAAAAGGAAAAAAATACTCACGAAATTAGTGAAACAGAATGTAGATATTATATGTCTCCAAGAGGTACATACTAAAAAGCAAGACCAGAAATATTTGGAATACAACAAATTGGGGAATTTGTTCGCAGCATTGGCAGAGGAAAAAAAAAGAGGGGTTGTGGTATATATTAGAAAAGAAATAAAAGCCAGCGTAATTTATGAGGATCCTAAGGGAAGGGTATTATTGCTTGAATTAACAATAGGGGAAATTAAAATGTTACTAGTTAATATATGCGCTCCTAATAAAAAGCAGAGGGAATTTTATAAGAAAATGCACAAAAGGATTATTGAGACAGAATATATGTATAGTGGGTGATTACAATGGAATAATAGATATAAAAAAATATTATATTAGTGATAAGAGAAAAAAAAAGGAATGTATTACCGAAAACCTTCTTTGATATGGTTGATGAGTTAAATTTGATTGATGTATGGAGAACATTAAACCCCACAGAATAAAAATTACCTTTTATTCTAATCCACATAAATCTTTCTCGAGAATAGATATGGTATGGACAAATAGAGAACTAAGCAAAAAGTTAGAAAATATAGAGCTTCTCCCGAATATTTGGGCAGATCACAATCCCTTGAGAATAATATGGAGAGGTCAAAAAAAGAAAATTAGAAGATGGACTTTGAATCCGCAGATACTACAAGAGAATGAATATCACCAGAAGATTAAAAAAGAATTGACTCTATTCCTTGATGTAAATAAAAAACAACACACCTCTATCGGATACAATGAAAGCATATACAAGGGGAATAACAACAGCATATATGTCAAAGAGGAATAAAGATAACAGAAACAACAGGACATACTATTAAAAAAATTAGAGCAGCAAGAAAAAAAACTTCAAGCAAGGCCAGGAAATATACAAGCCAAAGAAGAACTAATATCAGTTAAACACAAATTAAATTCAATAGAACAAGTAGAATACGCTAAAAATATTAAATATGCAAAACAATATCAATTTGAAAATGCAAATAAACTGGGGAGGTGATTGGCGTACAAATTAAAAAAAGAAACAGAAAATAGGATAATACATCAATTGCAGGATGAGGTAGGAAATTTACAAAACAAAGAGGAAATTAGAAGGATTGCATTAAAATATTTTTGAGAATTTATACAAACAAGAGGAAATTGAGATAGAAAAAAATGACTATTTAAAAAAGAAAAGTATGCCTATACTAGGAGAGGAAAAGAGAATGATGTTAAATGGGGAGATAACATTGATTGAGTAAAAAGAAGTGATTCAAAGACAAAAAAATAACAAGACGCCAGGACCAGGTGGTTTGCCAGGAGAATTTTATAAAAACATGGGGGAAATAATAGAACCAATACTTTCAGAACTATATAATATAAGTTTGGATGGAGGCAAAAATGCCTGTTTCATGGAGAGAAGCATATAATAGTGGTCATGAAAGAAGGTACTAATGCAAACCGAATTCAAAATTATAGGCCAATTTCATTCTTAGACGCTGATTACAAGATCTTCATGACTATCATAGCAGGAAGGATGAAAAAGATATTAAATGAGATTATTCACTCTGATCAAAATGGTTTTCTCCTATTGAGACAAATTAGGGATAATACAAGAACAGTAGTGAACGTATTAGAGTACTATGAGGCACATCCAGAGAAGTAAGTTGCGCTTGTTTTTCTGGATGTGCAGAAAGCATTCGACAATTTAAATTGGAAATATGTGATTAGACAAATTAGAGAAATGAAATTCTCTAATTGGAACAAATGATTGAAGCAGTTTATTTTTACCAAAAAGCAAGTATCATAATAAATGGAGAAATTACAAGAACATTTGAAATAAAGAAAGGAGTTCGCCAGGATGTCACCTCTGCTCTTCATTTTGACATTAGAGTCGCTACTGACAAAAATTAAAGCAAATTCAGAGATCAAAGGAACCAAAATCAGAAAGGAAGAATATAAATTAAAGGCATTTGCAGACGAGCTGGTATTTTTTATGGAGGACCCAAGGGAGACAGGACCTATCTTAATATGGGAGATAGAAAAGTATGGAGAAGTAGCGGGCCTTAAAATTAATAAGACAAAAACAAAAATGATAGTAAAAATATAACATTACAACAGTAAAGAGAATTAGAGAAAGAATTACAATTGCAGAGTACGAGAAGGATTAAATATTTAGGTATTTGGCTGACAGCGAGGTGTTCCTCGATTAGGGAAGATAACTATGTAAAATTAATACAACAAATAAAATTGGATTTCGAAAGTTGGGGCACCTATCTATGCTAGGTCGAATTGCAACTATTAAAATGAATGTTTTGCCGAAACTGCTCTATCTTTTTCAAACCATACCTATAAAATTAGACAAGAAATTTACGGATTTGAACCAAATTACAACAAAATTTATATGGGCAGGTAAGAAAGCAAGAATAAAATTAACAGACTTTCAGTGCAGTAGAAGCAGAGGAGGCCTAAGGCTCCCAGACTGGTGATTCTACTATAAAGCGGCAATCTTAGTTTGGATTAAGGAGTGGATCAATTTGAGAAACAGATTACTTACACTGGAAGGACATGATTTACAAAAAGGATGGCATGCCTTCTTATGGGACAGAGAGAATAAATCTCATTTATATTTTTTTCAACATAAAATATGAGAAGCTCTAATACAAATATGGCAAGAAATCAGAAAAACCACTATATGAAAATCCCTAGATGGGTTTCGACAATGGAGGCAATGATCCAACCCAACACTCTAGATATGAGTAAAATGGCCAAATATAATGAAATTTTGGATAGCCAAGGGAATCTAAAAAATAGACAAGAATTGTAAGAACAGGGAATAAATATAGATTAGTGGCCTTATTTGCAATTAAAATCGCGGTACATAAAAGATAAAGAGGAGTATGGAATTGAAACGATGCCACAACAATTGGATAAAATAGTGACTGGCCCGGATAAAAAAATCGATAACCAAAATTTATAACTATTTATTAGAATTTGACAGAGCCGAAAATATAGTGAAGGGAGCTATCTATGATAGCTTGGGCAAAAAATGTTGGGCATAATATCGACTGATGATTGGGAAACAATTTGGAATAGAAATTATAAATTAACGAAATCGGCAAAATATAGAGAACCAATTTAAAATATTCTATCACTGGTATTTGGCACCCTCTAGATTAGCAAAAATATATCCAAATCATAGCCCAAATTGTTGGAAATGTGGACAAAAGCAAGGTACCTTCTTTCATACATGGTGGTTATGTTTCGAAACAAAAAAACACTGGAAGAAAATTCACTGTTGGTTACAGGAAATAACAGGCTTCCAGATTGAATACACTCCGGAATTGTTTCTCCTAGGGATAACGAAAAGGAAATATGACAAAAAAATAACATATATCATTCTACACGTAATAACTGCGGCTAGGCTGGCCTTTGCACAATGTTGGAGAAGTACAAATATATCCTCTGAAGATTTGATATTTTAAAAAGTATTTGACTGCACTGAAATGGACAAATTGACACTTGAATTGAAAGGATTGATCGACTCGGAATACCATGCCATATGGGAGAAATGGTACAATTGGATCGAAAATAGAAAACTGGGGAGAAACCAGATAAAGTAGAAGTAGTTTTAGTAAAAATGTATAGAGTATAGGTGAATCGTAGTGTTAAGATATGTAAATGGTCACAGTTGTGCACAAAAGACAAATAAGAATTGTTTAATTGTTGAAAATTAATAAAATAAATTTAAAAAAAAGAAGTGCATACAGATGGAGTTGGAACCATCCTACTTAATTCTGTTGTGTTATTCTCCATTTTATGTCGAATTAAGACGGGGTTTTCAAATTTTTTTGTTAACGATTGTTGAAATAAAAGGACAGAAAACTGGAAAGCAGAAAGCCCCCAAACTCTATTTTAAAAGCTATTTCTTTGTTTATTCAGATATACAGTAAAAGATGAAGCGTTCACATCTATCTCCCTTATTCTTACATTTAACTTTGTAAAAAACTAAAATTGAAATAACAAACTACTAGTCAAAGATTTGGCAGACACTGATTCTGGAAGTAGAAATTACATTTTGCAGTCTGTATTATCAGCAAGCAGGGGAAATGTCTAGATTGTTGTTAATATATACCCTCAATTAAAAGAGGATTTACTCCACTGTTCTAAATTCTTTTTTTCATCCAAAGTTTTACATATGGTCAAATGTTATTAAAAGAATTTAATACGAGCCATTAAGTATACAACTGAATGTACCTTGTTAGAACCTAATCAGAATATCTGCTATTTCCCTACACATTGTCTCTTACATTGGTACATAAACACAAGCTCCTGTTCTAGGTATTTACATATGGGATGCGATCAATAAAAGAAAATACCTTAAATCAACATGCTGTAAATCCGTAATTCATTGCATACCAGTAGAATTAAGGCCCTTAATTACTGATAGGTATTGATTGAGAAGGGGAAAAAAAACAAATTCAAACTATTTGAAACAACCTTTCCAAAGTCTAGGTCAATTGTCCCCAGAAGTCTGCTACGGTATAAAATATATCCTGAGGTATTTATAATCACCATAAAATCCTTGCCAGGATTATGAAGAGTCATTTTTGTCCAGATTTCCTTAAGTATTTGAATATATTATCTTTTCCCATGTAATGAAAGGTAAAATATTTTAACTGTGCTTCCATCTGGTCAATTTATTATTTTAGCATCAACTGTTTTCACAGTAAGAGATAAGAGCAGCCATTCAAATTAACTGGAACATATTAACTGCTGTCTCTGCCTCAATGATACAGCAACTGACACTGATTTATTTAAAAAGTGTTTACTTACTTTCAGTCTAAAAAATCACACACACACACACACACACACACACACACACACACACACACACACACACACCTAATATCAGAATATCATGAACAAATAAAAGAGGAAGAGCAATTTCTAACTTTTGTCCAATATTTTATTTTCTGGAATATTATATAACAGCTGAACGGAATGGGAACTAGGTTAGAAGATACAAGTGCCTAGAAAAGTTAATTCTTCTCTTCCTCTTCCTTTATCCATCCAATAAACGTGGGTAATCTTTAAGAACAAGCTTTATAAAGTCTAAATAGTCAGAAACATTCCTTCAAGTATGTTTGTAATTTACTGTACAAAACCCTGAACCTTTTAAAAGACACTTTCTTCCTGATTCAACTCCACTGAAAAGTCAGAATATTTAGCTCTGATCAGACCCCCTGGAGAGAGGGGCAAATCAGGGCTAATAATCTTCTTACATATTAAAAATTTGTATGTTGTCAATTAATACATTTAATATAAGATGAACAGAAAAATATAGTCAAACTGCCACCAAAAGAACACCTGAATAAATGTAAGTACCTCTAGTTCAACTAGTGCTGCAGTCACTGCATCTGTTACAAGAGCCCCAGCCTGTAGCTTTTCAATTGCCTAGAAGACAGAATTTTAGGTATAAAGTATTGCCTCTTAAATATTTTACATACTTTTTTCTTTCTACACAATAAAGCCCAGTGAGTCATTTGGTCCCAAAAAAGAATTGTTCAAAGTTTCAAAGAGTGGATAATGACTATTCTTAGGCAAAACAAAGGAACCACACTTTACTTATGTTTGTGGTGTCACTTAATTTAAGATATCTGACTACATTGTGAACATCCTTGTTTAAAAGAAGAAATGGTATTAGGATATGAGTATCAAACTGAATTTAATTTAATTGAAGTTGATGGAACTGGCTAAGATGGCAAAGGTAACTACCTTGATTAAAGGAAAGTCTTTGTCTAACTCTTCCCCATAGTTTTTCTATGTGGTAACCACTTTGGGACTTTTTTCTGAAAATTGTAAGAAATATTAATTTTGAGATCTGATGATTTGAATGATAATTAGAATTGTTTATGATAACAATACTAGGTATTATTGAATGTTAGATCAAAAGGGTAATGTATGTTAATTTGTAATTATATTGAAGAAAGTTATCTTTTTTCCTATTTTTTCTTTCTTCATTCCCTGACATTTTCTATATTTTTCCTTAATTCCTTTTTTGTTTTTTATATTTTACTTTTTGTAGAAAATTAATAAAGTATATTTTTAAAAAGGATATGAATAATAATAATAATCATCATATCCTGTATTTGCACCAAATAAATGCAAGTATTTACAGTACTACTACATGAAATAGGAAGCAAAGCAAAAAATTACTCACTACTGTATTTTTCGGTCTATAAGATGCACTCCCCCACCAACATGGGTGGAAATATCTGTGCGTCTTATGGAGTGAATATTGCGGTGGGGGGAGGGGGGTTGATGCGGCGGTGGTGTTTGTCGCCATCGCCATTTGCCGCCACCAGGGAATGCTGGAGCCTTTGCTGCCGAGCAGCTGATTGGTGGTTGGATCAGCCTCCCGGAATACTGCCGATCAGCTGTTCTAGCCACTGCCGCCTAGAGCAGCTGATTGGCGGTATTCCAAGAGGCCAATCCAACCGCCAATCAGCTGCTCAGCAGCAAAGGCTCCAGCATTCCCAGCAGAGGCAGCAGACACAGAGGAGGCAGCTGACCGGAAACGGTAGCGTTTCCGGTCAGCCAGCCCACTGATTGGTGAGGCTACAGGAGGCTGGGATCCAGCTGTCACTCAGCTGACCGGTGGTGGGCACAACAGAGCAAAGCCCTGATGAGCCACGTGCTGGGGCTGCGATAATGTGCTGAAGCTGACCAGACTGTTTGCTGTTTACTGCAAGGATGCTAGCCAGATGAATACTGGATGGATGCCGGGAGGCAGAGGCAGATTTTTTTTTCTTGTTTTCCTCCTCTAAAGCTAATGTGCGTCTTATGGTCCGGAGCGTCTTATAGACTGAAAAATATGGTAATTGATTATGGATGTTTTTAAAATAAATTTCTATTCAAACTGATTGATTTACCAAACTTACTGCATCAACCTAGCACTACATTCCTCAGGAGTCTTCTTCAGTCTGACATTTATTTGTGTTATCTTCTGAGCAGGCAACTATGTTGTATTCCAAGAACAGAAGCTGAAAATTATCAAGACAGTTGATAGACTGGAGACAGAGATATCCCTGGGAATATTTTACTTCAGTGTTCCAACATCTTCATTAAATCTCCGGTGTATGGAAGAATCAATCAAAATGTTGATAATGACTGGGAACTCATTTTCTATTCCATATCCAGTTGGATTTCTACCGTTAAATGTAACTTCCTAATTATATAATCAAGCAGAACATTTTCAAATGCTGCTTTATCATTTTGGGAATTCTTTCATTCGGTATGCTTAGCTTACAACAAAAGCAATACAAAATTGTTACTTATTAAGGAAAGCACTTTTATAGTTAAGTCAAAGTTATTTCTAAGTCAAGAATAAGTAACCAACCACCAGCTAGAATTTGTTGGACTAAATAGTTCTTCTTTCCAGACTACCAGCCATGAGAGCTTCTGTCCATCACTATCTGGAAGACCATATACTTTAGACTGCCATCCTACACAATTACTGTATATTGAGATGGAACCATTGTTGCAGAGAATCTTATAAAATCTAATACCTGTAGTTAAAGTTATATACTGATAAATGTATGGTTATAATTAATAATATATCACTACTTATGACATATTTTACACCAAATCCATGGCGAAAAACATTAATCAAAGCCATTAATAGTGCAAATGTCTTTATTGCATATTATTATACTTGAGTATAAATCTCATTATATTGAGCAGGATTTATAGTCAGGTAAATGCATATAAATGTGATGGCAAACCTGTGGCACACGGAACCATATCAGTGGGCACGCAAGCATTGCCCTAGCTCAGCTGCAGCGTGCATGTGCATGTTGGCCAGCTGATATTTGGGCCTACCAGAAGTTGGGAAACAGGCTGTTTCTGGCCTCCGGAGGGCCTCAGGGGGAGAGCGGAAGGCCCATTTTTCGCTCTCCCCAGTTTCCTAGAAAGCCTCTGGAGCCTGGGGAGGGCGCAAAATGGGCCTACTGGGCCCACCGTGCCATATGCTGATACCCCTACGCCCCCCCCCCTCTTTTGGCACACAACGACAAAATGGTTAGCCATCAGTGGCATATAAGATTGTAGGACTAGTAAAGTGTGCTATTTTCATATTTAAAAACATATTAAACTTGCAGATTGGAAAAATGAAAGAGAGTTGAAAGATCAAGGCATCGCCAGATGTTCCAACAGTTAACAAACAAATCTAACGTCAGGGTTCCGATGCCCTAATTAAATCATGAGCCTCACACCAGGCTTCAAAAAAAGTTATTTATTAGAAGCTTCAAATTGGCACAGACCAAATGAAGCCAACTCTGACCTCATTTAATTTATGTCCCGGCTCTGACCCCGTTTCCCCCCTCCCTTCATCAGTCACATTCTCCAACGAAGCAATTTTGTGGGTTGTAGAGATCACTCCCCTCCAGCCACTGTGGGTTTCCGTGGAGACGGTTTTGCCTTATCAGTTGGAATGTGCTATGTTTTGACTGAGATACCAGCTTCTTGATACATCTGCGAAGTTTGTTTTCCTATCCCCCTTGCCTATGGCAACTCGAGAACAAGCCAGGGATGCTTTGCGAGTTGACACCTTAACTCCATAATCTATACTACAAATAGTCACTCTAGTGCCCTCCAAATGTCTGCATTCAACTTCATTAGACCCAAACAAGTATGGTCAATGGCAAAAGATCGGGAAGAGTGCTCCAATATAAAGCAGCTGTAGGACATTAAATTGCCCAATCATGGTCTAAACTTTCAACCCAACAAAGACTGCACTAATAAAAGTATTTCTTTCATAAGTGCCAAGTGTCTCTTGAACTCTACAAGAAAGCATTAGCAAGTTCAAACTTGCTATTGTCTGATGACATTTCATGCTATACAGATACAAATAAATAATTTTTCTTATATACAATTTGTTAAATAATTTCATTTCTATATTTTATGAATATATATAGACAATTTTTTAAAAAAAGTGCAATTAGGAATTGTTTAAAGATTACTGAGAAGTAGAAGTAAAGATATAACATTTCAAACAATTACCTTCTAACAATCTTACCTTCCGACATGCTCTTTTGCACACATGTTTATATTCTTTGGCTTTGGATTCAGAATGATAACCTGCACCTGTTAGCAAAGAATATGTAAGAGAAGAGGGTAAAAGTGATCAAATATTGTAAGCAGAATCATTTTGTTTGAAAGCTCTTTCTAAAATAAAACCTTTCCATATCAAAAATATATCTACCTTGTAAGAGGACTACAAACCAGATGTATCCCCTTCAAGGGCATTTTCAACAGGTTGGGTGGATTTATCTTTCCAAAGAGTAATATTGGAATATTGGATATTGGAATCCGATTGTGAATCATGCAGCCCTATGATCATCAGCTCATTAAGGGAATGTCAACTAAAACTTCACTGCACATTAGACATCTACATAGCGAGCACTATTGGTTCAAATATCTAGCCCTGAAAAAAGAAACTGCACATGTAAATGGGATCTGAAGTAGCATGAAATGAAGAAAACAATGCTGTCCCTGTCTGTATGCAAGCCTACATCTTTGTCATTATCACCTCAATTACAATCTCCCTTTTATGACCCTATAATCACTTAATTTGAGGTAGAGTTGGGGTGACTGGATGGAGCTGAGAGTTCGCAGCAGATATTTTTTTCTTTGCATCCTGATAAACCTCTGCCACTACCTAGGATTGAATTTATTGCTTAACGCATTGTAAGCCGCCCTGAGTTTCCGGAGAAGGGCGGCATATAAATCAAATTTAAAAAAACCCCAAAAACTCTCAACCTCCCAACTGGGAGGTGAGCATCCCCCAAGTGGGAGGTGAGCATCACTTGACCACCATACCATTCATTATCACATCAATCACAATAAAACATCAAAATATAAAGAGAAATGGATTAACTATGTATCTCTTATTAACCACAGATGTATGAAGTGGGTTTTAACATGATGATATAATATTATCCTTTTAAATTCTATTATCATTTGAGGAAAGCTAAAAAATCAAGACATATTAGCAGGCCCACAGAACAGAAATGCAAAAGTGTTTACTCTTCTGTAAAACACTTTGCCTTCTAAGTGGTGCCATTTATACCTACACAAGTCCTTGATTACATTGCAAATTATTTGGTTAAATTCAGCCTCAATTCATAGACTGCTTAAATGTATATATATTTAAACTTCTTATTCACATTCTAAACTTTTTATTCACATATGCATTGCTAAGAGAAGTTTCAACTAAGTGGTATTATTGTCTCTCCATGCCTAACAGTGGAACTACATCATTTGCACATTATGGACTGCTTCACTGGACTATGGCTTTAGGGAGCATGCCAGAAATTTTTACTACTACTATTATCCAAGTATGCTGTTATGTTTAAAATAATATCTTCCATAACTAACAGTTATTACAGAACTTTTTCTTAGTGGCTAAATTCTCCACTTCTTGTACCAGTGCTTTATAATAATATTCATCTAACAGTGCAAAACATTTAGTATATTTATGGCATAATACTTGTCCAGAATATTAAACAAATCTTGCTTAACTCTCTAGCAAAAGTGTTAATAAGAAAATTTTGCCAAACTAGGTGGTAGGATTGGAATTTATTGGGAGATTTCCAGTAAATATGAGCACAAAATATTAGGCTAGGAAGTGAAAAAATACCTCAGTAAAGAGAATGTAAATCACATCCAAACTATTCCAAAGAAAATGATACTGACATGCCCATGGAATCACCTGGAGTCAAGCTTATGTCAAAAACAAGATTTTCCTAAAAAAAACACTGCCAAATCAAAGATGATAGATCTAAAATATTAAAAAAAATTACTTATGAATTCATTACTATAACAGGAACCATACAAGATATTATTGTATGACAGAATCTCTATCATAGTAACGTATATTATTGCATTCTTTGATTGGTAGAAAATATTGCCTTTTCCAAAACAGATCATATTAAATATTGGATTTTTAAAAAGACTGTGACCTTACTTCTGTGCTATTAAGTTTGACATTAAAATAAGAAAGACACTGAAAATTATATCTTTTTTGTAAGATTAAACTGCAGTAATCCTTATTGTTCTTTGATAAGGACTTTACTGAGCATTGAAAAATATATAAAAATAAACCATAATGTGTGTGCTTTGGTTGGATTTGGCATGATCCTCAGGATGAAAATTTGGTAACTATGATTTACAGTTTAGCATGTTCAGCAAAGGTTTAATAAAATTTAATAAAATTATTAGATAAACCATGGCAAGATGTAAAATGTTTTGCCCTTTATTCAAAAAAAATCTCAGCAAACCATAAACTGATAAGTTCTGAGCAATGGCAAAAGCAGTATCTCAGTGCTGCTCAAGCAAAGGGGGAGGAAGAAAATATTAAAGATTGGCCCTGTCAATAACACACTCTCTTCAGAGATCAGCACCTCTGTTTTCTATTGAAGGGATTATAGCTTTCAATTTAAATGCCTGGTAAGTCTTTTTTCTAAAACCATGTTTTCGTGCATCATGCTCTAAATCTATCCATCAAAACGGCCAATTTAAAAAGGAGGAAGCCTTCTGATTAACTGTTTCCTACATTGGTTCCCTTCAAATCCCTAATTTGAATAAAAAAGTTAACTGGATTATCATAACTGAAAGGAAAAGAGCAGATTACAGTTCAGCCACAACTGGCCTAAGAAACATGTCATGAAATATAAACATATATTCACCATTCTTTCCCCAAGTTACCTGTGCGTCACCTGTTTCCCACCTCTCCCAAAGTACCATATATAGTACTAAAACATTAACAACACAGCCCACCTACTTTGTGATATTCTGACATGTACCTGCATGTACAAGTACAAATCCCACTCGTCTCACTTTTTGAGCCGGTTTGGCTTCATGTTCTTTTACCATCATCCTTACTGCAGTGGCATGAGCTGACACAGGAGGAACTTCTACAGAGCTTATTCCCTTTTCCATGATCATACTTCAAGGCTATCGTTTCCTGTGGAACAGAGCATGCTTCCATCCAAGGGAAAACATGGGAAAAGAGTCTTCCTGAAAATAAAATCAAACAAAAGTATCCCATTATTTTATCTACTTTTGGCTAAGGAGGATTCCACTCAAGAAACACATTCTGTTCAGAGCAGCTGCGTTAGAACCAAACGCTATTCAGGTGCAAGATTTTTTTCCACATCCATGACTAACAGTAACAGCCTGACAAAAGTCCATATATTCAGCAAAATTATACAATACAGGGATGTATTAATTTGCTACTTATTAAGCTGTATAACCAATTTTTAACTTTAAAATGAACTAGTGATAATGTTAATTTTTTATAAGCTTTCACAGATTTATTAGGAGTCTTTCACCCTGGCAGAGATTAGGAAAATTCAGTTTCAGGCAAAATAGTATGATTCCTTTAACAACTAAAATAAGGCTATCCCAAAAAGTGTCTTCCCCCTCTACTCACTCTTAACTTCTATTCTTTCACAAGATTTTAATAACAGTTGCTATATAAGTATTACTAGAGTCCCTAGTATAAGCAATCATTTAGAAGTTGCAGTAGGGAAGCTCAAGCAGACCATTATTTCATATTTGCAATGAAATCAATGCTAACATTGGGATTTCAATCCTATGCCTTTGATAAGAAAGATACCTCTATAGTGTCTGCTGAGACAGTGTTAAAAGTGTGTCTCAAAAACTGGTTCTGGGCCATGGAAACTTCATGCCCAAGAGACCTAACACACAATCTGTTCTCTACACTGGTTCCCATCAAGCATCTTCCTCGAGAATCAAACAGGGTGAAGCTCCCCTTCTAATAAGAAAACACCATAAAATGGTGGGTGTTTTGCATTCCTTCCTCCATAAAGCTTTTTTTTAGAGACACGGAAGAAAGCAGAGGACTCGTTCCCTAATATTGTCATAGCAACCGGAAACATATGACCCAGAGCCGCAAAATCCCCAGTTTGGGCTTGGAAATCTAATAGCTGAACCAGAAGAATGCATGCAAGTTAAGCAGAAAGGCTCCTTATCTCCTGCTTTAGAATGGAAAGCTTTGGCCATCAGCTCTACCTCCATTTCCGTGAGGCTTCGCTCACAGCCAGGTTGGACCCTCGACTAGGCAGATAAGTCCCCCGAGACGAGACACACCCTGCAGCTTCCTCCCACAAGCCTCATGCTTTGCCTCCAGCCCACATGGCTGCAGGCTCAGGCATCCTGCAGGAGAGTCCCGCTCCACTCCCCCCCCCTCTCTCCGGCCGGGCAAAGGGCAGGAGTCGCACTCTGATCACATCACCAACGCGCCCCTTGCCTCGGAGCGTGACGTCATCGCCTTCCCCCCCCCCTAAGGAGAGTGGGGAAATAACCTGCTGCGTTGCCGGCGGGAATCGCTCCTTCGTTCATCAGTTCCAGTAGAGTGTCGTTACAAGGCTCGTCTCGTCCTGGATGCGGGCGGGCGGGCGGGCGCGCACACCCACGCATTTATCATCAGCCTCTCAGTGACTTTTTGTATCGGGGAGGGGTGGGGGTGGAGGTGAACCCAACCAAGTCTATTTTCCGATCACTTCCGGTTCCGAATTGAACCTTTTGCATCATGTGCGAGGAAGGGCTAGAGTGGCGGAAGCCGAAACAATCTCAGCCCGATTTTTTTTTCTTGATGGAAGAAAAGGCGGGGAATTTAAAATAATATATTAAAATAAACCCTACCTCTTTTCCAAAGGAGAAGGAAAGGGAGGGGGAGAGTAATTTTTCAGCTCTAGAGTTCTTGTTCTCTGCAGGACTGTTGTTGGAGAAGTTTGGCTTTTATTTTTTTAAAAATGAAAGCAGCTGGTAGATAATCAATATTTGCTTTTCTGGTCATAAGCCCATGTGGACTTTCTGTTGAACATGCCTTTGAGTTGCCTAAGTTTAGTGTTAGCATTCTGGGTAGATTTGCTGACAACTGAAGTGAAAAAACTCATATGTTGATACCCTGTTTTACCCAAAATAAGACATCCCCTGATAATAAGCCCAATTGGGCTTTTGAGCACACGGCAATAAGGCCAAGCACTTATTTCAGGGTTCAAAAAAATATAAGACAGGGTCTTATTTTTGGGGAAAACACAGTAGTATTTTTTGTTTCCAGCCCTTTTGCTAAAGGGGCTTTGGAAGCAATTCAGCTATAACTCTGCTCAGGCTTACAATCTAAACTACCTGGCAAGAGATAAAAGGAAGGAGGAAAGGGGGTTCACATAAGTACACTGTTAAAATGGATATTTAGTTTGTGGTGCAGTGTGTTCAAAACCCAGACAAATTGATTCAGTAAAACATAGTTCTCTAAATCTAAATGTTAATTGCATAGACTAGGCCCATGGTGTCTGCTTAAGAAAGAGTGATTAGAATGCTTTGTACTGCACTGTGAAAATATCTACGGAGCTCCTCACATCCTGGACACAAACGATTTCAACTTCTACCCTCAAGACCACACAGAAAAAAGGATAGAGAAAAAAAGATACAAAACATTTTTACCTTCAAAGGAACAAACTCATGGAACAGGTGACTGATACTATTGTGGTATGCAATATATGTTCCATGTAAGTGCTTATGCCCAAAGAACACCCAAATTATACATGTATTAAGTATAAGCTATGTGAACTACTAGAGGAAAAAGTAAGGGATCTAGAGGCTACTCTAGCCAAACTCCAACCTATGCAAGAAAGCTATATAATGAACAAAATTAACTCCCAGAGGTTTTGACTCTGCTGATAAACCCTTGGAGGAAGACAAACGGAGGTATGTCACACATAGAAGGAAACCCAATAATCAAAGAAAGAAACAGCACACATCTAACAAACCCCTGCTGCCCAATCTAACCCACAGAAGCACCCCCATTAAAACTCAACAGTTGATTTCTCCCCCAGTTGACAATACTCAGACCCACAACCTCCCCCTCAAAAAAAACCCAATGCAAACAATTAGAAAAGAGACATCATCAAATATCCCTTAAAAAGTCACATCAACAAACTCGCCTGGGATAAACAGAAAGGCACCCCAGACTGCACCCCCTAAAAAAGGAAGGCAAGTGTTGGTGATGGGAGATTCTATTCTCAAAGAATAGAACCAGCCATCTGCAGACTGGACATACAATCTAGGGAAGTATGTTGTTTCCCTGGAACAAAAATCAAGGATGTGGCTGAGAAGCTAACCAAAATAATTAGGTCCACAGATTACTAGCCTTATCTACTACTACTACATATAGGGACAAATGAAGAAAAAAGGACTTGAAAACAATATTGAGTGATTACAAGCAGCTAGGCAAGAAAGTTAAAGAGTTAGGTGCACAAGTAATTTTATCATCTACTGCAAATCCTGTAAGAGAATAAAGGATTCCCAGAAGTGAACCACTGGCTAAACGGTTGGTGTCACCCAAAAAAACTTTGGATTCCTGGACCATGATGGGCTTTTGGCAAGGGATGGGCTGCACCCCACAAAGACTGGGAAGAACATTTTCGGATAATGACTAGCTCAACTTATTAGGAGGTCTTTAAACTAAAGTTGAGGGGGGGAGGGTGACCAATCTCCAGGAGCAAATTCCAAGCAAAAACCCTTAGAAAATAAGTCAATTAATGAGATAAGGAGGGATGGCAAGGAAGACAAACTCAAATACCAAATAGGAGACATAGAAAGCATATCCAGAGTCAGACATAAAGACCTCAAGTGCCTATATACAAATGCACAAAATTTGGGGAACAAACAGGGTGAACTTGAACTATTAATACATGAAGGTAGATATGATATAGTTGGAATTACAGAAACTTGGTGAGATGAAACCCATAACTGGAGCATACTGATAGAAGGATACAAACTGTTCCCAGACCCCAGGGTGAACTTGAACTATTAATACAGGAAGGTAGATATGATATAGTTGGAATTACAGAAACTTGGTGAGATGAAACCCATAACTGGAGCATACTGATAGAAGGATACACACTGTTCCCAGACCCCATAAAAGAGGAGCTGGACCCAGACCCCATAAAAGAGGAGCTGGAATTGCACTGTATGTAAAGGACCACTATATTGCTACAGAAATGCATGGAATCAAAGACGAAAACCAGAATGTATATGGGTCAATATAAAAGGGAAAAAAGAATGACATTGCCATAAGTCTATACTATAGGCCACCCAACCAAGCAGAAGAAATAGATGTACTTTTTGCCAACAACTAACAAATATATGTAGGAAACACACTACACTAGTAATGGTGGACTTCAATTACCCTGACATCAATTGGAAGACTAATTCCGCACCAAGTGAGAAATCGAATAGGTTCCTGACCAATCTAGTTGACAACTTTTGTCCAAAAGGAAGAGGAGGGACAGCCATACTGGACTTAATTCTTACAAACAGAGTAGAAGTGATAGAGGGAGTTGAAACTGCAGGAACCTTGAATGAGAGTAAACATCCTACTAGAATTCAACATAACGCAAACACAAGCAATAGAACATAAGGTTACCAGAGTTCTAGATTTTTAAAAAGCTGATTTTAACAAATTCATAGAGAACTTGGGAAAGATTCCTTGGAAATCTCAAGAGGAAAACTCAAGAAGCTTGGGAAACTGTGAAAAATATAATAATAAAAGCCCAGACCAGCATAATACCATTGAAAAAGAAAAACAAGAAATCCAAGAAGAAACCAGCATGGCTGCACAAAGATCTCTCTGACAAATTGAAAGACAAAAAGGACAAGTACAAAAATGGAAAGAAGGACACATAACTAAGTCAGAATATCAACAGATAGGCAGAATCTGCAAAGACAAAGTCAGGAAAGCAAAGGCTCAATGAAGAAAGACTTGTAACAAAAGTCAAAGATAATAAAAGTTTCTTTCAACATATAAATAACAAGAAAAAAATCAAGGAAACAGTGGGTCCACTAAAGAGAGAAGACAGCAAATAAGTAACAGGCAACAGAGAGAAAGCAGAGCTGCTTAACTCATTCTTTGCATTGGTCTTCACGCAAAAAGAAACAATAGTCCACCCTACCAAAAACATAACTATAAAAGACAGACTAGAAATAAAAGTTAAAATAAAAATTGGTAAGAAAACACCTGTCTGATCCTGATGAGTACAAATCGCTGGGATCTGATCAGAGTTCTAAAGGAATTGGCAGATGTCATCTCAGAACCACTGTACCACATCTTTGAAAAATCCTGGAGCATTGGGGAACTACCAGAGGACTGGAAAAGAGCTGATGTGGTTCCCATCTTCAAAAAAGGGGAAAAAAACAGACCCAGGAAACTACAGACCAATCAGCCTAACATTAATACCCGAGAAGATACTGGAAAAGATAATTTAAAAAACCAAATGTGCCAACTTCTAGAAACAAGTAAAGTAATAAATAGAACTCAGCGTGGATTTGTTAAAAACAAATCATATCAAACCAATCTTATTTCATTTTTCAACACAGTGACTAAATTAGTAGACCAGCGAAATACTGTGGACATAATATACTTGGACTTCAGCAAGGCATTCGACAAAGTAGACCACAACCTACTTCTTGGTAAACTACAAAAAAGTGGGATAGATAGCATCACCATCAGATGGATTTGTAATTGGCTGACAAATCGTACTCAATGAGTAGTCCTTAATAATACTACATTTACATGGAGGGAAGTAAGCAGTGGGGTATCACAAGGTTCCGTCTTAGGCCCAGTACTCTTCAATATCTTCATAAATGACTTAGATGAAAAATAAAGTCCAGTTGTCTTTTGAAAAAGCACCTTTGGGATAATATGTGTGGCTGCCTTCTAGTGGGCCAGCCATAAGCTTTGAACAATTGTAATGTAATGTAGTACATATTTTTAGTTTTGCCTGTTTGCACAGTTTTAAAGGAGAGAGCTCACCTGGAATGGAGCTGACCAGAAGTACAAAATCACAAGAGGAAAACACAAAAGCAGCAACTGTGAGTTAGGAGACGGGAGACTTGTTGCCAAAAGTCAAAAGTGAATCTTTCCAGTGACTTGAAAAAACCTGGAGGGCAGGTCTGTTTGTAGTTGTTCATGCTCTGCTACATGAAAGGGCCTTTTTCCTGATATTCTGCCAGCACAAAATGCTTTCTTCAGCTAATCGCCTTCTTGACATGACCAAAATGCTACAGCCAGATTTCTCTGGATCAGTCAAAATAGCATTCTTTCTTAATCTTGGTTTTTTAACACCGGCTCACTATTCTTTTCAGTGGCATGGCAGTGAGTTTCTGAGTAATATGTGGCTTTCTTTATTCTGTTTT